TCGCTCAGAAGTTCAAAGATATCGGAGATCGGACTGAAATGTCTGATATTGACTTGCGGGAACGTTTCTTCACTGCATTACTCCCAGAGATCCGACAACACCTCATCACCGTAAACATTGCCCAAGGAATTGCTCCGACTCTGAAGGAGGCAATCAAACGGGCCATATCGGTGGATGTCTACCTGCACGATCCCACCATGACTGGCCGGAACTCTGGATACCCTCCCACGCATACCGCTCATACTACCCCTGCTGACCCCCACGCTATGGACATTGATGCAACCCACACCAGTAATGGGAATACTAGGGAGGCATTCCTAGCTCGCATGCGAGGACGATGCTTCGGCTGCGGTGCCCAAGGTCATGTCAAGCAAAACTGCCCACACCGAGAAACCACCTGCCGCTACTGTGGACGCCGAGGACATCTGGAAGCAGTCTGCCAAGACAAATTCATGGGACTCGGACGAGACCGGGGCCGACGCCAGCAACCTCGACGCCAACAGATATCCGCTACGGGACCTGCGCCATTCTCCCTATTCCCAAACGAATCCGTCCAAATCGCGTCCTCGACCCCAACATCTGCTCCTGCACCTGTAGCTGCTACTCCGAGCCCTCCTAACCAGGACTTTTCCAATCAGATTGGTCAAATAAGGGAATTACTTGATCGTGCTAACGCTATGTCCTCCTCGTCCTCTGGCTTTCAACAGGGTTTTTAAAGAGGGTACCCGCTTCGGCTGCACCGAGAGTACCCCGTAATCAGTTTGTTATGTTCGCTACTTCTTCGTATGACTCGCACCCATCATGTACAATATCGTCGATCCGGGAATTAAACTCCACGTCCCCACATTTCCGAATTCATGCGAGACTAAGAGGAAGGAATCACAGTATAACAACTGCAGCCATGGTAGACTGTGGAGCTACCGCCCTGTTTTTAAACCAAGACTTTGCCACCCGGAACCACGTAAGATGTGCACCCCTCCATAAACCAATCGACGTTTTTAATATCGATGGAACACCTAACCGAGCTGGACGGATAACCCATTTTGCACGTCTAGCACTCACAGTGGATAATCAAGAGCGATGGATGGACTTTCTGATCACCAACCTAGGGGGTGAAGACATCATCCTTGGACTCCCCTGGCTACGGAAGGTAAACCCGGAGATTGATTGGGAGAAAGGACGACTCTCAGTAAAGCCTCCTCGAGTAACGATAGAAGAAGTCCCAGACGAGGAGATCTCGTACTCTCATCTAGCCGCCACTCACACAGAAAGCCCGATCCTCGAACTCCCAGAACCGGAATCTCCTGCAGAAAACCCCCACATTGAGGTGCCACCAGAAGCGACCCTTGAACAGAGCGAATCAATAGCGGTTGAAGAACTACCAATACACCGAATTCGAGCCAATCATCAAACTCGCCGTGCATGGGTAAAAGCAGGAATTCTAGAGGAACAGACGGAGGAAGTCTGGTGCGCCGCAGGATTCACCTACTCCCAGCAGCTAGCAGAGGAAGCCAACCGAGACAAACCCATTAAAACCTTCGAAGAAATGGTCCCTGAGCAGTATCGTGATTTCAAGAAGGTTTTCTCAGAATCTGCCTCCGAACGATTACCTGCCCACCAACCTTGGGACCATGCAATTGATCTCGTACCTGGAGCACCGGCAACCATGCGCACCAAGATTTATCCCATGTCCCTAAACGAGCAGGAGGAGTTGGATCGTTTCCTAGAAGAAAACCTACGAAAAGGCTATATCATCCCCTCAAAATCACCAATCTCATCACCGGTCTTCTTCGTAAAGAAGAAGGATGGGAAACTCCGTTTTGTACAAGATTACCGGAAACTGAACGAGTACACTGTGAAGAACCGATACCCTCTCCCATTAGTTGCTGACATCATTAGCCGACTTCAGGGAGCAAGATACTTCACGAAGTTTGATGTCCGCTGGGGTTATAATAACATACGGATTAAGAAGGGGCATGAATGGAAAGGCGCGTTTGCAACAACCCGAGGCTTGTTTGAGCCTAAGGTCATGTTCTTTGGTCTCACAAATTCCCCTGCCACATTCCAAGCACTTATGAATGCTATATTTGCTGATCTCATTGCAGCTGGCAAGGTGGCAGTCTACCTAGATGACATCCTTATCTTCAGTAACGATCTCGAGGAACACCGACGAATGGTACGGGAAGTATTAACTCGGTTAGAAAAGCACGACCTCTACCTACGACCCGAAAAATGCGAATTCGAACAACAACAGATTGAATACCTCGGACTCATCATCTCAGAAGGGGAGGTGAGAATGGATCCGGTAAAAGTAGCGGCTGTTCGCGACTGGCCAGTCCCTACTAATCTTCGGGAACTACGAGGGTTCTTGGGATTTGCAAACTTCTACCGACGCTTTATCCGGAACTTCGCCAAAATAGCACGACCTTTGAACGACCTGACGAAGAAAGACACCAGCTTTACCTGGACCGACACTCGACAGAACGCATTTGACACCCTTCGAGAAGCCTTCATCTCCGCACCGATCCTTGCTCTATGGACACCAGACAGGCCTACTCGAATTGAGGTAGACGCATCAGGCTTTGCCACGGGAGGCGCCCTTATGCAGAAGCAAGACGACGGCCAATGGCATCCGGTAGCCTTCAGATCGGCATCCATGCAGCCAGCGGAACGGAACTACGAAATTTATGATCGAGAGATGCTTGCTATCATTGAAGCACTGAAGGATTGGAGGAACTTTCTAGAAGGACTCCCTCAACCATTCGACATCATTACGGACCATTCGAACCTCGAATTCTGGCGCACTGCACAAGACCTCACCCGCCGACAAGCCCGATGGGCCCTCTATCTGTCACGGTTTGACTTTCATATGATCCATCGCCCTGGCAGAGTAAACACCCAAGCTGATGCTCTCTCCCGCATGGCAGTTCATCATGTATCGGACAGCGATGATAACCGGCAACAGACAGTCCTTAAACCCGGCCACTTCGTAAAAATTGCAGCTTCGATCCTACAGAACCCCTTAGAGGATCGTATCCGGAAAGCCTCAGAACGGGAAGCACAGGTACTGGAGGGTCTCAAAACAGTCAAAGAGCACGGACTACAGCGCTTGGCCAATGGGATAGCCGAATGGGAAGAGGACAATGGGTTGGTCTACTACCGAGGTCGAGTATACGTACCAGCAAACGACGACCTACGCACTGAGGTACTCCGTCAATGCCACGACCATCCAACTGCAGGACACCCCGGACTACACGGGACACTCGACTTGGTCAGTACCCATTTCTGGTGGCCTACGTTGCGCTCTTTTGTGGAAAAATACGTTGAGGGATGCGAGGTTTGTGCCCGTAAGAAGATCCAGCGACACCCACGGGCCGTAACTCAACCATTAGATGTACCATCCGGTCTATGGGAAGAGGTAGGGGTTGACCTGATAACACAGCTACCTAACTCCCAAGGCTACGATGCTGTCTTGGTTTGCACAGACCTGTATGGAAAACAAATTCACGCTATTCCTTGCACCAGCTCCATCACAGCCGAAGGTGTTGCCGATATTTACTACCGAGAAATCTTCCGTCTCCATGGTCTTCCTCTTCACTTTAAATCCGACCGCGGACCCCAGTTTGCAGCTAAACTCATGCGATCCCTTCTCGCCAGGCTAGGAATTAAATCAGATCTAACCTCCGGATACCGTCCTCAGTCCAATGGCCAAACCGAACGAGCAAATCAGGAGGTAGAGAAATACATCCGCCTCTATGTGGGACGACGACAAGACGACTGGGCAGAGCACCTTCCCATGGCGGAGTTTGTGATTAACTCACGAACTCATTCTGCTCTAGGCATGTCCCCGTTCGAGCTAACCTACGGCTATCTTCCCCTGTTCAATATCCCAGTAGGCCAACGCAGCGGTATTCCAGCTGTGGATGACCGTATACGGATTCTCCGAGAAGCGCGACAAGATGCCGGGGCTGCCTTACACCTAGGAAAGAAACAACAGAAGGAGGGATACGAACGCGGAAAGCGGAAAGCTCATCAATTCAAAGTTGGAGACCTAGTCTGGCTCAGTGCAGAGGACATTAACCTTCAGCTTTCCAGTGAGAAGTTAGGAGATCGACAGCTTGGCCCTTATCGCATTCTGGAGAAAATTGGCCCTTTAGACTACCGCCTTGACCTTCCCCTATCCCTAGATCGCCTCCATCCCGTTTTCCATGTTGATAAACTATACCCCTGGAAAGGTAACTCCATTAATGGCGAAATACCAACACCACCAGAGCCGGTATATTTAGAGGATGAAGATGAACCGGAATACGAAGTAGAGGAGATCTTAGACAGCCGGGTTCGATGGAAGAAGTTGGAATATTTGGTTAAGTGGAAAGGTTACGACGCAGGGCACAACTCTTGGGAACCCGCAGCCAACCTCAGTCGAGCACCAAAAATTGTTCGGGCCTTTCATAAAAAACACCCAACAGCGGCAAAGCCTTGACCATCGAGGGCAATGGTCATAAGGAGGGGGGTAATGTCATAAAGTACGCAGCCCCTATCATTTTCCTTTTCTCACCGTCTCGACGCCTTTACTTGTACGATACATCATCCCATCACTGTCAAACCCCCATCGATTACTGATCCATCGATTACTGATCCACCTGACCCATCTTCTCCTTCTACTGGCTTCCGCCACCTTCCTTGTTCCTAAACTGTACAGTATTACATCGTTGTTTCTCGCAGACCGGATTATGTATATATAGCCAACCCTCCACAGCCTGGTCCCTTATCTTGACCTCTCTGTCATTATCTGGGACCAGGTATGTGCTTACTTATTATTACCTATGACTACGATACTCAATATATCTCTGTCATTATCTGGGACCAGTTCGCCTCCGCTCCGCTTAGTCGCTCCGCCTCATTGACCTGCTTAGTCGCTCCGCCTCACTGCCTGGCTTAGTCACCCCGCTTCCTGCTCCGCTAGTCACTCCGCCTCTGCCGCTTCGTGACAATTACCTATGACTACGATACTCAATATATCTCTGTCATTATCTGGGACCAGTCACTTTGCCTCACTGCCTTGCTTAGTCACTCCGCCTCTGCCACTTTGTGACAGATATCAAAAACTGCTGTTCACCCTCGAACTTCGCAAGGAGCATCATATGACATGTATTGTTCTGCCTCTTCTAGGTCTCACATTCCATGATTCGGTCTTTGCTCATTTCCACTCTATTGAGAGTCTCCTTTGCCCTGAAAAACCACCTATCACGCGAGTCAAGATTTTTCTTCAAAATGAAGTGCTAACTCTTCCTGTATTGCGAAAGGAGGAAAAGGGAGGAGGTGGCAAGATATCGAAGACTGAGGCATTCCCCTATGATGGATTACTTCATTGTCTGAAGTCACTTTCTATTGCTGCAGGATTCCTAGGTAGGTTTAACTGCTCTCTCTTTTGTGTGCTGGCATCTTATCACATCTAGAACCCATTACTCCATATGACTTCTGTGTGTCTCAGGGAAACAAGGCAGATGTAGATCTTGGGGAAATGGCGAGAAAGACGTTAATGTTGCATGACCCAAACTCCAAAGTTTACTTTGCAAGTAGATCTATTTCATCTCTTGATTAAAGACTGACAGAAATCTTAGAATAAATACAAGTCAAAAACCATGACCGCTGACCTATCCGCTGTTACTAATTGTAGAAGCCAGGATGAAAACAGAATAACACTCTTTTGTGTAGGCATCAATTTTATGTTTGGTCAAAAACCCCTTCCCTGACAAAACCTTTAGACAGCTGTCGCTGCCTTGTCAGGTCGAGATTCTAACGCACCTCAACATCTGTCTTTGGAGGAGAGGGCGAAACTATTGAATGAGCCGGAACTTGTCAAGCTACAAAACGAAAAGGATGAGATATGAACTTTTACTTTGGATAGCTTACAATACTTGATCCAATCTACTCAGGCCACAAACAAGATTCAGTGATTGTTAGCTAATGAGCAATCTAAAGAAGTCAAAAAACAAATCATTGAGTTGTGTCAAATTGCAGCCAAAGCCTCAAATGCCTATTGTTTTATGTACTTGCGTCAATCAGATCTGCATATCAAACAAGCTCATCAAAAATTCTTTGACAAAGCTGCCGTCCGCCAAATGGTCAATCCGGTGCGTAATCCATAATACTAACATATAAACTCTATTGAAATTGTCTCTACATTAGACCAAGCCTGTGTTGGGCATGAGTGCTGGTGGATTAGATGACAAGCAATATAGGATTGAATCTTCATTCTTAAGCCTGGTCAAGGATTTCGATAGTGGCAATCCTGTTACCAATTGTTGTACACTGATCAATGTTCTTATCGCGCAGCCGGAACAGATAATCTATCAAAAATTCTATCCCGGTGAAAGACCTGATAATGAAAACAGATGTCCTCATTGCTCAGAAGACCTTACGTATGAACTTCCATTGCCATCTATGTTTATTTATTGATGTATTAACAGTACATTGAAAAAGACCAAACCTGGTGAACATGTCCATTCCTGCACCAGAAGGATTCTTTTTGAGAAGGCTACCACTCAAATTGAAGCAAATTTTACCTCCCAAGAATGCTGATATGGAAAATGTCTCGAAAAGTTCGATTACCGCTCAGAGTTTATAAGCCATCTGTTTATGGTCGGCATCGTTTGCTCTCATCTATTGATTCTTCTGACTATTTATTGCATTTTAGACTCATATCAAGAGTGCTACACAAAATAAGTTGAGTTGCTGCTGTAAATAGCAAATTGCCTCGGGGGTCTCTTGCAGTGTAGAGGACATCAAGAATTGGAGAGAACATTTTGCTGAGATTCATGGTCTCAACCTAGATCAAAGCATCTTCGTGGAGTTTTGTATGATCTATGGAATATGGTACAAATCATATTAATACATGGCTTGTTCGAAGTCTTACCTGCCTTTTTAGGCTATATGACATCCTAGGTGACCGTCAAGTGTTCAATAATCACCATCTAGCCCATTACGAGGTTCTATTTGACCCATTCAGTTTACGGCCTTCAGAGGGTGCTAGCGTCTGTCACAAAGCAGCAGAGGCAGAGTGACTAGCGGAGCAGAAATACTGTACAGTTTAGGAACAAGGAAGGTGGCGGAAGCCAGTAGAAGGAGAAGGGTAACAGGTGGATCAGTAATCAATGATGGGGGTCAGGTGAATCAGTAATTGATGGGATTTGACAGTGATGTAATCGTACAAGTAAGGGCGTCGAGACGATGAGAAAAGGAAAATGATAGGGGCTATGTACTTCATGACAGCATCTCTCTCTTGCCTATCGGGATCACTGAAACCAAAAAATACATTGAATATGCTCCTGGGTCAGGATTTGACGGGGTATTGCCTGAATTCCATGGGCATTTCTCTGACAGCATCACTCTTGTTCCCAGTTTCTGCCCAACATGTGTATTTGACAAGGAATTGCCTATGTATACACGAATGCATCAGTTAGTTCACCTTTTATCCCCCATTTGTTTATTTCTCATTGTCCATGCATTAGATTCAGCAACGTATTCTGCTTCATGGAGCATTTTAATCACATTCATTGGCCGCATTTTTCTGAATCTGAAAACCTTTGTTCTGTCCCCTCCTGTGGTCACCACCGTTTCACCAAACAAGAACTCATAATTCATCTGATCAAATTTCATCGTATACTGCTGGCCAGTACAGGTAAACATTACAGGGTTAAACGTCTTCTCCTTCCCTCACCTGACATGGAAGCCGTCAAATATAAGAGGAGGAAGAAATCAGAGGGCTTCTGGTGTCTCAGGTGCTCTGGTGAGGTCAACGACATCAACAAACACCTGCAAAGGACGCAAGATAACAAGAATGCAAAGTGATGCGCTTGCACTGGGAAGTACTCTGTCATTGCTAATGGTGAACGTGGTCCTGTTCAACTTTGGACTGCTCCATCATCGGTACGTGTTTCATTTCTCTGCCTGGATTTGATACATACTCCTGACATTCATGATATCAATACAGTCCGAGTCTTAAAGGTGAATATTAGAATGTTTGAACAACGCTCGCTTTTGCACATGGGTTCTGATTTCGATGGCCTTTTATACTATTACACATAGCCTTGTATTAGAGATTGTGGGATTGATGCTCCGCATACAGTAGTATGAGACTCGCGCTCTAGCCAACTGAGCCAAGGAAGCCATACTCTGTTGAAAAAGGATCTGGATACAATCTTATTCAATACTTTTATTGAAATCTGTCCAAATTCATCAAGTTACAGTGACGCGCAAATCAAATCCACACCCCCCGATTTGGAAATTTTGTGATTTAACTGTTTTTATGTACATTTTTGTATGCTACACACTATAAATAGTTGCTTGTGGCAATATAAGGTCCTCAAACCCTCAAAATTCAATAATTCTGAGCAGCGGAACAACAGATTTACGAGTGATACACGGTTCTGGGCTGGTGACATAAGGCCTTCCAAATCGGGGGGTGTGGATTTGATTTGCGCGTCACTGTATCTACCATGTGTCTAAATTTGTTTCAAGGTCTGGACTTTCAAGGCATTCAATTCTCTCACTAGCAGGGTTGGAGTTTGTATGATAGTGGAAATGCGGACACTGAGATAGGGTAATTGCGAAAGAGTGTTTAATAGCCTTCAGCTCCTCAAATCCCTCATTCAGCTTGCGAGACCAACAATTTACCCTCGGAGTGTTCATGTCCTGCGGGGGGAGCATGAATTCATCATTGAAAACCCAACAAACGTCGAACTCTACGCACTTTTGGTACAATTTCTTAGCATTTTCAACAAGTACATGGCTCCATAGCACAAAATTAATGTAGAAAACAGAACATAAACAAACACCATTTTTACAGTGACATTCGGATGAGGGGGTTGGACATTGAGAAGGATGGGATAATCAGAGCAACGAGCAGATGGGGGGACAAGCCGGACCGAGAAGGAAGCCATGTCGTGGTATATTTGCGATATGGAACGAAAACTGCCAAGCAAGGTGATTCAAGAAATGTATGTACGGATACAAAAAAGTACAATGGCTGCAACGTAGTTGAAAGAAAGTCACTGAGAGATATACATTCTACTCCTAGTTCGATTTTGAAGGACTGGTAGTAGTAGATGCAGCTATAGATATGGAACTCGGAGGACGAGCAGTCAAAGCATGATTGTCGATTGAGATGCTCTGGGTAACATTCGCAGTTTTGTATATCCCGATGAGACGATGACTGAGTTCAAACATGTCATTTCTAGAAGCCCCCGTGTCAGAAAAATAGAGTCAACATCCCGAGAACGCAACACACCGAAGTGAAATAATGATAAATTGTGCATTTTTTGTTCTATCTTTGATGTAATTTGCGATGATTGATACGTTTCTGAAGTCAAGAGCGGCGTCTATCTCATCCATGAAATAGAGAGGCGTGGGCTGAAGAGAGCATTGAGTCTACGATTCAGATTTGCAAATCAGGACATAGGACTCGCCTTAAAGACGTGTAAGGCGAAAACTAGCGCAAGAGAGCTTAAAGTCTGATGGTATAAATTAGGACATTGCCCACTTGAAACTTGTAAGTAGGTATCCTACCTTTTCTCCACCGGATAAATTTGAGATATTCTTCCAGCTCTTCTTCGGAGGCATCACACTGAAGATAATTCCTTCCGCAAAAGGATCCATGCTATCAACCAATTCGAGTTCGGCATTTCCACCTTGGGTGATCATCTATAGGCCGATCCTGTCAGTATTCGGATTGTCAACAATAACTGCACAATTCACCTGATACATTTCCTTGAGTTTGAGCGAAATAGTACTGAAGCCAGCCATAAATTCCTCCAGGCGCTGCTTGCGAAGATCCTCATATTTCTTTTTCTGAGCGTCACGCAAAGCCACAACTTTCTCAAGATCATCGTGTCGACTGAGGAACTCTGCTTCCCGACGCTTATACTCTTTGAGTACATTCAAGTTGGGCTTCGCTCGTTTGATTTGATCTAGTAAGGATAATGTCGAATGTGAGAAATTGATAAGGAAGAGCACAAATCACGCACCTTCTAGAGCTTGCACGTCGACCATCATATCCCGCTCCTTGAACTTCTGTAGTTCCGCAGTCTTGTACTCATGAAGTTTGTTCGGGACCTCTTCCTCCTTGAAGGTGTCGGCTAGAGTTACTTTGACATTGACCTCTTCTTCTTCATTTTTGTTTTTCTGAGGTTCATTTTCACCTGGATGTTCCGCCGTCCCTTCTTCTTCCCCTTCATCGTCCCCTTCCTCCTCATCATCATCACTATACGAGAAGGGATGAACAACGACATGGGATCGAGGGAGAGACCCACTCACTCGATATCTTCTAATGATAGGGCATCATGCAGTTGTCGAAAGCGCTCGACTTGTGAAGAAATTTGTTCAATATCTTTTCGATGACCGTCGATAGTCTTCTGAAGTTTGATCTATAGGCGAACGTCAGATAGACCATTATGAGTTCGTCCATTGGAGACGAACCTCGGTCTGACGGAATGCTTCTACTGCCTCAGCCTTTTCTTCGAGCTGAGCTTTTCGTTCGGCCAATGCTTCTCTTTTGCTTTCTTCAGCGGCCTCAGCAGCCTCCACTTTTGCCTTTACAGTTTTCACAAAGCCTTGCAATTCTTTCAGTTGGCCATCAAGTTCCGCCAGCTCTGTTTCCAGTTGTTCGAGTGCAGCGGCATCGGTATCGACGGTATGTCTATGTTTGTCAACGTCCTTTTCCGCTTTGGCTTTGGTGACCTCAGCGTTGGTGATGGCGTCATTTGTGAGATTGATATGATTCCTGAGTCCTTCGACTTTGGATTTCTGGGCCATGAGTTTGGACCCTCCGATCTTCATGATCTTGTCCTCGACTTCTTGTAGAGATGCCTCGATTTCACTTGCTTTCTCTTTCAAGTCAGCGATCTCGACCTCGAATCGGGCGAGGTTGTCTTCAAGATTCTTGATCCGAGCGATGTCGTTCTTATCCGGTTTCGAATGTGTCCTTCGGGGCATAATTCTGTCAGTTCCGGAAACATCGTGAACACAAGATCAGGAATTACCTCAGATTTTTCAGACGTTTCTCTGCTTCCTCAATTCGAGATTTCCCTTGCTGAATATCAAGACCTAGCTTCTCATAGCGAAGGTCGATCTCTGGACCTGAACGATTAAGCTTCTCGTATTCCGCCTCAGCACTACGCACGGCCGCAATTGCCTCCTCGAGTTTCGCCTGAGCCTCTTCCCGATTTTGCTCAAGTTCCTGCAACTGCCGAGGACTGACAGAATCTTTAGCCAATTTTGAGCTCATCCCACCCTTTGCAGGCGCTCCTCCACCTCCGGACATAGCACCAGAAGTCTCGATGACCTGCCCGGCCAATGTGACAACCTTTGTCCGCCTTTCCCCAAATGCTATGCGATTAGCCTGGTCCATGTCTGTCGCGACCAACGTGTCTCCGACAGCTTTGTAAAAGACCTCTGCGAACTTCGGGTCTTTCGGGGTGATAAGGTCGAAAAGTCTCGGAACGTTTTCTGGAGTGTTTGGCGTTGAAAGCGTTGATGGATGATAACTGATTTTTTCGAGGACCATGAAGGTCGCTCGGCCGATATTGTTAGAGCGTAGGTACTCAAGGCATGCCTGGCCCTGTTTTACGGTATCGACAACCATGTTGTTCAAGCTTGGGCAGGCAGTGGTAATGGCGACATCGTATTTCTCTGGAATGGTACCAAGGCTTCCGAGACGACCCTGCGAAGTTCATTAGCAAGAATGAATATTGCAAGATGGCATTGACATACATGGAAGCCGGTAATACGTCCAGTGTCTTGCATGCGGGTAAGGCTTTCAAGTACCTTGCCTTGAGATCTAGTCTCAGCCTGTGAAGCTTTCGCTTCTAGCACTCGCTGATGCGATGACGATGCTTTCGTTCTGCAGGCTTGTTCAACTTCTTGCGCTTTCTACAATTGCCCATAGACGATCAGTCTGACCACGTACGGAAAAACAGCGTACGCACGTTCAGTCTTTCTGTCGCTGCCTCCTTTTTGTCGTTTAACTCTGCCTTTTCACTTTTAGCCTCAGAAAGCAACTTGACCTTCTCCTCCTGGTCAGAATTAACTTTCTCCAGATGTGTCTCGGCTTCATGCAAAGCTGTTTGGATGGATTCGACCTTTTTGACCAATGCGTCACGTTCACCACGGGCAACGTCAATTTCTTTCTGTTTAGCATTGATCTTGGCAGTCCAAGGCTGAAGGTCCTTCTGTAGGGATTCTTTCTGGTCATAAAATTTCTGGGTTTTGTCTACAAATGTAGTGATTTAGAACGCGCAGAGGGGCAAGCGACGGAAAGAAAATCTACCTCGAAGGCTGTCCTGAACTTCCTCCAAAATCTTCTCCTCTACACCCAGAGACTCTTCGTAATCGTCCAACTTCCTCTTCTCCTTCTCCAGTTTCTCTTCACTATCTTCAATCGTATGTTGTGCGGTATTTAGAGCAGTGCGAGCCTTGGGTACATAGTGAGATCGAGCTTAAAGTGAAGCAAGACAAACTGTTACTTACATCACCCACACTTTTCTTCAGTTTTTTGGCTTTCCCTGCGGCATGCTTCCTCTTTTCAGACAAACCAATCTCTTGCTTTTCATGTTCGGACAAGGACTGGACGGCTTCCGTAACCAGTTTTTGAATCTCCTGAGAAGAGAATGAGCAAACAGAGCATTGATGCTCTTAGAAAGCTCATACTTTGTAACCCTTCTCGAAAGCCTTGTAATCAGCCTGAAGTTGCTCCAAGTGCTCGATATCATCCTTATTCTTTGCTTTTTCTTCCTCTAGCTCTTCTTCGGCTTTCTCCTGTACATGTTTGGAATTTGAGTAAAAGTCTCGACGAGACAAAATGAGGACTGACCATTAATGCACGAATTTTGTTCTCGCTGTTGAGGGTCTGCCAAATGTACCACTGGTAGAGCTTGGACTGCGCTCGAACCAGTTCGTTCTGGAGCCTTAGATACTCCTCGGCCTCTTTCTTTTTATCTTCCAGAGCGTTCTTCTCTTTTTCAACAAGACGTAGGCGATTCAGCTTCTCTTGACGGCTCTCTTGGAGATTTTCCAGGTCTACGAAGGCAGTCTCGATGGGCTCTTTATACTTAGAGGTCCCAATGATATCTTCCAGGTATTCAAGCAGCCCTTCGTCGTGCTCTCCGCCTTTGGGCTTCATCTGAGCGATGGACTCGACCTCGCCCTAAAACATCAACATAAGATAGTCGTATTTCCCCGACCCCAATCGTAGAATACGAACCTGCAAAATTAAAAATCGCTTATGATCCAAATCAATTCCTCGCCCCTTTAAAAGGCTCTGAACCTCCTTGTAAGAGCTACTACGTCCATTGATAGTGTAAGTACTCGTGTTATCTCTGTACGCATTGCGTGCTACGGTGAGATTGGAACCGGGAACGATTTCAAAAGTGTCAGGACCAGGCTGTAATCACGTCAAATATTACGTTCCCGAGATAGACGAGAAGCCTACCAGGTCAATTATGTCGCGAAAATACACCTCGACAGTGCAATGGTCAAGATCTGAATAGCGAGCAGAGTTGTGGATTAGTTCGGACAATTTGCCTTGTCGCATTTTTGCGGCACGATATCCGAACACAAAAAGAAGCGCATCGATGGTATTAGACTTCCCTGACCCGTTCGCTCCTACGATTGAAGAAAACGACTAGAGGACGATTAGAGTATAGTCTGCGCTCCTAAATTCTCCGTACCTTATGAAAGGGGCCTATCTCTTGTCGACCGGCATAGCTTTTAAAGTTGACGAGAGCAAGTTTGTGGATGACTAGTCGAGATTGAGGGCCCTTCGGCTCTTCAAGGACAACTTTGGCTTGAGACTGTGATGCAGGTGGCAAAGAAGGTGGATAGTCAATCAAAAGCGATTTTTCTTCCTCCAATTCCTCGTCTTCTTCATCTACACCTGTCGGCTTTGTTTCCCCTTCATCCTCGTCCATGGAATGTTCTTTCGATAACCGATGATTAGTACGAGAGCTGGTTTTCTTTGGGGACATAGAAACGCGTCTCTTGGGCATCTCATATTCCTCAACATCCGACTCCAAACCCTTCTCTGTCTGGACATCAGCCTTTCCATCGTCATCTGACATGGGCACCAGCTTGTGACCGCGAGCAGAGCGAGGTTGAGTGGCACGGGAGGGCCGTCCTCGTTTGGCTGTCTGTCGGGATTTCGGTTTCGGTTTCTGTTTCTGGTTCTGTTCCTCGAGCTCGGAGTCCTCCTCCTCAGGATTAGGCACCTTGCCAGCATATTCCTCTTCATCAGACGATATTGCCACCGGCTTCTGAAGGCGACCAGAGCGAGGTTGAACAAGCGCAGGCGCACGGGAGGCTCGACCTCGCTTAGCAGTCTGTAAAGTTCTTTTCGGCCTCCCTGCTTCTGTGTCTTTATCTCCTTCTTCTTCTTCGTCACTTTTCTCCAACGACGGCCTCTTCTTTTTCCTTGGGGGCTGAACCTCATCTTCATCTTCCTCCTGGTCTGTCTCGGACACTTCTTCCTCTTCTACAATTGGTTCTGCCGGCTCCCGACGCGTAGAAGGCTTGGACTGTATTGACACAGCGTTGCCGAGATGACTTGAAGAGTCTCTTCGAGAACTAGAAGGTGGCTTTCGAAGATTTTCTTTCTCCTCGAAATTGTTCACAGGCTGTTGACTCCTTTTGCGCTTCACAGGGGTGGACTCAACCAAGGCAGGTCCTGACGAGGTCCGTGAGCGGGATGAGCGTCGAGGAGGCATTGCCAATGTTATTGGCAGGAACTAAGATGCTATCGATAGCGACCTTGATACGTACCAAAGGGAAGTGCAATCAACAATTAAACAGAAACGCCAGAACGTGATACGCACGTGCCGGCGGATAAGCAATATCATCCTGCCTCTCAGAAAAACTATTGAATTTCTTCCTAGGAGTGCAGATATTTTCAATTTTTACCACTGGTACATAGGTATAAACCAGAAAATCAAAAGTACTGATGCTGCATACGATATTGATTATATATATCAATAGTCCAAAACGTCGTCACGACCCAGTAAAGGATGATCTTCATGAAGCAAATCCTAGTTCATGCTTAGCGACCACACAAAAGCTTCTGTACATGTACTCCAAGGACCTTGATAGTTGGAACCCATGTAACTTGAGGGTACGATGAAGACGAGACAACTTCAATACAACGGACAAGTTCGTCCTTTCAAGATTTCGATACGCGAGTCGTTCGCTGTTAAGAAGGATTGGAGTACCCGGGAGCACCGAACCAAGATAGCAATTTATCGTCATCATGCCGCTGTGAAGAGAAGCTAATACATATGCATATTGCGTCCTCGAAGTTCATCTCAAAGTCACGGCAGGTAGGATAAATACAGCATCCAACATTCTGCAGCAGGGATATCTTACAGATTTCCAAAACCGTCGTCTCTTTTGCACTCGTGTTATAATCGCATGCAGAGATGAGGGTGTATTAATTGGATATAACCCGAAAAAAATCTACTTTTTGCACACCAAGTTCACGTAGAAGGTATAGGAGGAATTACACAATACCAGACTCCGTAATCGTAACTTTGGAGCGTGGCGTCCCACTTGGCGAGCCTTCACTTTCAATTTTGTTAACAACATCCATTCCTTCGACAACCTCTCCAAAGACAACGTGCTTTCCGTCTAACTATAGAGTCAGGTCGAAATCAGTGAGCGTTTACCGGAAGGTGTTGAAGTAAACACACCCAATTCGTGACAACAGTGGTTATGAAGAACTGTATATGATGATATCACGGAGCATGAGTATATTTAGCGAGGGACTAGAAGAGTCAGCACATGAACTGACCTGCGAACCATTAGTGTTGGGTCCGGCGTTGGCCATGGAAAGAAGACCAGGTCGGGTATGCTTGATGCTGAAGTTTTCATCTATTTCAAGTTTGAATCCGCGGCGACTGTGGAAAAAATACAAAGACACATACCAGGGAATTTAGCCCCATATATTGACTTTCCTCCTGTGCCGTTGTGGTTTGTGAAGTCTCCGCCTTGTAACATGAACTAAACAAAAACAATGAGCGCATTGGTCATAAAAACTTCATAGTACAACCGCATCTTACCGAAGGAATGACGCGGTGGAAAGAACTGCCAGCGTAACCGAAGCCGTTTTGACCTGTTGCAAGTTCACGAAAGTTCTTCGCAGTTTTAGGTACTATGTCATCGTAAAGCTTGAAAACAATACGCCCAGCGTGTTGGCCTTTAATGGCAACGTCGAACTATTGAAGCTGAACATTTTATTTTGCTCAGGAATTCGCCGAGTCACTCACGAAGACGTTTGACCTAGAGTTTTACAGTATTCAGGTCAACAAGTTTATGTAGGGCTTAACAGGAGGACTGACCTCGCCCCGGCTGCGCTAGCAGTAGTGGAAAATTTTCGTAGGAAAGATGCCATTACAAAGAGGGTTTGAAGAGAGAAATAGAGTAACGGAAATAATTTAATAAATGAGAGGACACTATCACGTGTGGACTCCTCTGAGTACTTCGGAATTCTGTTCTGACTATTTCAGGCTTAACCCTAACCATGGGACGTTGGGCATTTACAAAAAATGTTCAATCATACTTGGGATTTGCATCAGAAATATAAGAGATCGAGCGTTCTACAATCTGCCTTCGTCGAATGAAGGGCCAAACCTCGCGGACCGCTATACCGATAAAGCTGCATGTGGAGATGTCCAATTACATACTAACGGCTTCTTTCTGAATTACTACGAAGATAGATAAGAGCTTTCGGTCCCTTCATCATTAAATATTGGCCAGTCATTGACTCAAGACGGTTTTTTTTCTCTCCTATAACTACACGCTCTCAAAGTGGCTAGAGTTGCAGTAGCATGGCTAAATTCCAGCTAGAAATTGCTCTTGCTTTTGCAGTACTCATCGCTGCTAGTCTGTTTCATCTTGTAATCAACCGTCAGAAAGACGGGAAGATTCATTTGCCTGTTAATGCCACTGAGTCCGAACAGTCACTGCCAGATGCATTCGATGTAACCACCACTGAGGACTTTTTGGAAGGATATCCAATTGACGAGGAAATTTTTTGGAAAAAGGTGCGTTTTGGAAAGTCTTTTCTTACTCGAAAACGCAAAGTTTGCGCTCAACGATGATACCCTAGTTGCGTATCAGAAAAGGCATATTATGTTTTTTGTTGGTCGTCATCTTGGTTCTGCAATCAGTGCAATTAGGCCTGTCTGTGTCTGGCGGGCATGGTGAACTGGCAGAACGTCTGATCAACATTTGCTTTGCGGCGTACCTTACAATTCTCTCCGCACGCTCTGTCCGACAGGACAATGTCGAGCTCAACTCCCAGTCCATTGTTCATCTCACTGTGTTACTCACCGTCGCTTCTGTTGCCCTTGGTGTTTCTGCGATACTTCCAAACACACCTCCCTTAACTGCCTTCGAGTACTCTGAAGAGGCAATCTCACAGTCAACCAGAATATGGTACGCCTCTGTATCACTGTACGTCGTGGCTTGCTTCATTGCGTTTACAACACCCCGCGGACCATCACTGCACTTTCCTTACGACTCCATCTATTCCGAAAAGACCGTTTCTGCAAGGACCAATACGGAAAAGGAGAATGTTACTGGTGTCTATGGTGCTTCATGCTGGGGTTACCTCTATTTTACATACTCAACCAAGGTTGTTATGCTCGGAAACACCTCTGAAAGCCTTGAGATCGCAGATTTGCCTATCGTTCCAGCGAACATGCGCGCAACGGTCAATTATTTCGAAATGAAAAAAGCAATGCAACGCTATAAACTGAAGATTGGGTCCTGGAGGCCGAGAATAGGATCGGGTTGGAATGTTGGATACACTCTCTTCAGGTACAACCTGGGGATTATAGCTATTCAATTCTGGATTGCTGTGGCGTCGGCAATATTGTTTTATGCGCCAGCAATGTTCAGTCGTATGCTTATCGCCTACTTGGAAATGGATCCAGAGAGGAAGGACAGAGGCTGGGGATGGGTGTATGTGGTAGGAATGTTCTTATCGAACATAATAGGGTTCTTTAGTGCGTGCTCCAAGAGATATTGATGCCCAACACTTGAGCCCTTACATCCATTCCCTTTTAGCTTCTGCTCAACTCTGGTCAATATCAACAACCACCTTGCAAACTCGTTTCCGTATTCAACTCAGCACCATCCTATTTGCTAAAACACTCATTCGTAAAGACTCAGTGTCATCCACACCTCCAAAAAAAGATAAAGACCAGGATCGAAAAGCCTCTGAAAATAAAAGTGACGAAGACGATGATTTCACAAGCAAGGCACAGATTATGACGCTCATGACAACGGATACCGACAGGCTCAGCGAATTTGCATGGCATTTTTTTGCTCTGGTTGATTCGCCGATAGAGCTCGTCGTCGGTACGATTTTTTTGTACAGATTGCTTGGTGAGTTTTCTCGAACTTCCTTATGTACAACTGACCAGAACCAAATTGATGTGGAATTAGGTGTCTCTTGCTTTTTTGGGCTGGCTGTAACATGTCTCTTTTTACCATTGAATCATTTTGCTGGAAAGGTCGTCGTGGGCGCCCAAGATAATTTGATGAAGGCTCGTGATGAACGTATTGCTTTGATGAACGAGGTCCCCTTTCTTTCTGTCTAATTATCCTTGTACTGATATCTGTGTGTAAGATCTTGGGTGGCATCAGAATGTTGAAATTTATGGCCTGGGAACGAAGCTTTGAAGCTCGTGTGATGAAAATACGGGACAGGGAGCTCAGGTACCAAAGGCTCAACTATATCATCGAGGTATGCTTTCGACCACTGGCATAGAATTAATGCTCATCTCCTGAATTATGGCAGACCTGCTTTAATGCTATCTGGTACGATTCCTTATGCGGATTGTCTTTTAAGATGAACGCCAACCATCTTGATTATATAGGAACGCCACACCGATTCTAGTGACATTGGTGTCGTTCTGGCATTTTACAGTCGTGAGAGGAGAGGATCTGACTCCTTCAATTGCCTTTACCTCCGTGAGTTCCAAGGGCATCGTATTTGTGAGACTAAACTTAGCATATAGTAGATCATGGTATTCAGCGAGCTCAAGTTTGCTTTGAACGCTCTTCCCGAAACATTCATCAACATGCTCCAAGTAGGGTTATATTTGGATATATGATTCGATTCATGAATTGAATGCACCTTCCTGTAGGGTCTCGTCTCCATGCGCCGTATAGAAAAGTACCTCAACACTGCAGAAATCACACCAGTGCCGCCTCTTAGCGAGCAACCTCAACATATCGCCTTCCGATCTTGCACTGTTACCTGGCCACAGGATAGAAGTGGAGGTGACTCGAGCATACCTCCTTCTGTTGCCTCGACACCTAGGCAAAAATTCGTTCTCATTGATTTGAACTTGAGATTTCCCACTGGGGAGCTCTCGCTTGTGTGTGGGAAGTTAGGGTCTGGAAAGACACTTTTGTTACTTGGTACGTTCTACTTCGTTCAATGTGACCAACGTCACTAAACCTTGATTCATCGTACAGCCTTGTTGGGCGAAGCTGATATATTGACTGGTCAAATGTTTTGCCCACGCTCCCCGCCAAATATCATGACAATGTTCAATACGATTGGTACAGGAGAAGACTGGATTATCCAAGGGGTATGCGCGTACGTTCCCCAATCTGCTTGGCTCCGAAATGCTTCCATCAAAGGTATGCTTTGGTTATTTTGTTGGTATGGTTGCTAACTATCGCTAGACAATATTTTGTTCAATTTGCCTTACAATGAGGAACGCTATCGCAAGACTTTGGAGGTATGTTATATTTTACTACTTATCAGCAATTCGTGAGTATGTGTAGGTTTGCGCTTTAGTGACAGATATGGATATCTTAGAGGATGGAGATGAGTCAGAGATCGGAGAACGTGGCGTCAGTCCCTTTCTGTTTTTCACAATGCACCCGCTTACCATGGCCATTGGACATCAGGTTAACCTGTCTGGAGGTCAAAAAGCTCGAGGTCTGCTGCGGCGACTTTCCCCTATTTAGACGTTACTCATGATAATGTTGCAGTCTCCCTGGCCCGTGCAGTCTACTCTCGGGCATCCATACTGTTGCTTGATGATGTTCTCTCTGCTGGTATGTTCCATCTTTTTTTCCTCATATGAATCCCGCTCACAACCTTTTTTTTGAAAGTTGACGCCCATACTGCACATCATCTCTACCACGAGTGTCTCAAAGGAGAACTCATGAAAGGTCGTACTGTTATCCTGGTCTCACACCATGTCCAACTCTGCGCACCTAGTGCCAACTACATCGTCGCACTTGATAACGGACGCGTTCAATTCGAGGGCACTCGGGAAGCATTCCAAACATCTGGTGTTATCCATACCCTGATGCAGTCAACAATCAATGAGACAGGTGACGAAAAGGAGGAACAAGCCATCGAGGAAATCCCCGTCCCAAGTTCGCAAAGTTCTGACAGTGATCCAAGTTCTGAGACGACAACTATCGCTCCTACCCCTGCGACAGTAAAAATGGACAAAAAACCTGCGAGGAAATTGGTTGAAGAAGAAATGAGAGCTGTCGGGCGTGTCAGTAAAACTGTTTGGCTTACTTACGTTCGTGCATGTGGATCGTATTGGTATTGGATCCTATTTGCAGTAGCCTATATCATTGCAGCACTTAGCCCTGTGGCAGAAAACGGATGGCTGAAGCAAGTGTGTTTCCTTCTTTTCCTTATTACTTCTGACCACTCTACTCTATAGAGTATGGTCTGGTTCAATTTCTGACGGAGACCATCAAAAAAGTCCGACTTATTATATCGGTATCTATGCCTTAGTAAGTGTTGTGGACTGGTCTCTGTTCGAACTAAACGATCTTCCTAGGTCACATTTTTAGGTTTGTTTTTTTTTGTTCGTCTCGAACAACCATTTACCGAGTTGTGCGATTTTTAGGTTTAATCATCACCACCACCCGCTGGATTGTGCTTTGTATGTTCCATTCTTCTCCAAATTATCCAAGCTTACTATATCCTTTTTAGACAGCGGGTCCATCCACGCCTCTACCGTTCTATACAAACGTTCGTTTATACTACTGACCCATAAACGTTTGTTCTAAGATTTCCTATCAGGACTTTTGGAGACCGTGCTCTTCGCAAATATGAGATTTCACGATACCATATCTCGTGGGCGGCTGCTGAACCGTTTTGGTAAAGATTTCGAAGGCATTGATAGCAATCTTTCCGACAATTTTGGACGTTCGATACAATATGCCCTATCGGCAGTCGCTACATTGATTAGTGTCAGTGTCGTTGGAGGACCCCCGTTTGTGTTTGCTGCATTAATTCTAGGTGTCGTGTATTGGAATGGTGAGTAGAGCATTATGATAGCAGTTTCGGCTGACATATGTATGATAATGTTCCAGTTGCGAAAGTATACGGTCAAACATCCCGCGATATGAGGAGATTAGGTGCTTTGAAGAATAGGTTCTGACACAGAATCTTAACTCTAACCTTTGAACAGATTCTGTCACCAGGTCGCCACTTTACTCGATCAATGGGGAAACCATTGCTGGAGCGACTATCATTCGTGCTTTTGGGGCGTCATCAAAGTTCCTTCGGGACATGCTCCGTTGTTTGGACACTGTGAGCTCAATACCAGGTCTCATTCTCTTTCGCTCCTAACGATCCATGCAGAATGCCAACCCGTACTATTGGATGTGGGGCGGTACGTCTCCTGAGTCTGTCTTTTGTGCACGCTGATCTGATATTGTTCTACAGTCAACAGGTGGTTGTCCATCAGGTTCAACGTTTTGTCTTCGTGTATTCTGGGAGCGATTGCTTGCATCGCTGTTTTCAACCCTGCCATCAGCGCTTCCTTTGCCGGATTCTCCATTGCGTTTGCGAATACAGTCACGAACGATTTACTCTTCATGGTGAGAATTGGGGCCCCAAGTTTGCTCTTTTGATTTACATTGGTTTCACAGGTTCGAAGATTTGTTGGATTGGAGCAATCTATGGTAAGTTATATCAACTGTAGCGCTGTCCAATCAACGTTTAGCATCCTTTTTCCAGGTGGCCCTTGAGCGTGTTAAAGAATTTTCCGAATTAAAACGTGAAGCACCCGAGTTTATCGAACCCCGTCCTCCTGCGTCGTGGCCCGCTACCGGTGCGATCAAGTGTGAAGATCTGGTGATACGCTATGCTGTACGCACATTCCATTCCCATTTTATTCTACCTCTTACGAATGTTTATATCATATAGCCTGAATTACCCAATGTTTTGCACAAGCTAAACTTTGATATTCGTCCTGGAGAAAAGGTCGGAATTCTTGGTCGGACAGGGAGTGGGAAGAGTACCTTGGCGTTGTCGTTTTTCCGATTCGTCGAAGCAACCGAGGGACGGATATTAGTGGATGACATTGACATTGCAAACGTTGGACTTACAGACCTTCGGTCCAAACTCACCATCATTCCTCGTAGGTTTTTGCATCGATAAGTATATCCAAGACCTTGATTCGCTTATACTTTACGCAGAGGATCCAACTATTCTCTCCGGCACATTACGCTCAACATTGGATGTATTTGATGAATATGAAGATGTAGAAATTGTAAGTTTCCATCCACTTTACTGCCACTGGTATTGAACTAAATTTTCATCTCTTTTTCCATTACAGTTCGAAGCTTTGCGCCGTGTTCATTTAATCCCAGCCTCTGATATTCCCGATGAGGACGTAGCCACTGTGAACGCCAACATCTTTAGAAACCTTGATTCTGCCGTGTCAGAAGGTGGTGAAAATTTCTCAACGGGGTTCGCTTTAACACCTCCTTCTCCCCTGTAACTAAGCTAATAGTGATGACTTTAGAGAGAAACAGTTACTATGCATGGCGCGTGCAATATTAAAACGGTCGAAAGTTTTAGTCATGGACGAGGTAGGATAATGATAATATACTTTTATTTCAACCCTCGCTGATCAAAGTTCACTCCTTCAAGGCAACTGCTAGTGTCGATTATGCCACGGATGAGCTGATCGGCAAGACTATAAGACAGTGAGTTATCTGATCTTTTAAGATTCTTTTGTTAAAATCTTTTCCACAGAGAATTCGCTGATAGCACCATTCTTACTATCGCTCACCGACTAAGAACAGTCATTGATTACGACAGGGTAAGTACAGATTCTCTTGGAGTGGAGTTTGGCTAATTCTTGCTCGTTTGTACAGATCATGTTATTAGATCAAGGACGTATCGTGGAATTTGAAAAGTAAGATGGTTTATGTATAGCGGAGTGTGATGAGAAATTCTGACAACATTTCTGCAGGCCGCAGGTCCTACTCAACGACTCTACCTCAAAATTCCATGCTCTGTGTAGAGCAACTGGAAAGGATGAGTTCTCTACACTCAAGAAACTAGCGGGTCTTTGAAAGGACACATGCTGGGAAGAATATTATATACATATGATGCTTGTTTGATCTATAACCCGAAGTGATTTCATTCACGGAATAGACATCATCGAAAATATTTGAACCCATGAGTTTGAGAGGTTGAGTAACTTTTCGGAGTTCTCCAGAGTTCTCCCAGTGGTTCTCCCATGCAGGTCGCAAGATCATGCAACTTGGTCTAGACTTGGCCTCGGCCTAATGATCGAAACGTATATGTACTCGGTCCGAGGATGATGATTCTAATTAGGTGTACCGCCGGTGAAATTGGAGAAATTCGCTGAAACTCGCCAAAACATAGTCAATGTCCGACTCAATGAAAGTACATTACTGTCAATTACATAGAACAAAAACGAGGCTGCCAACCAGTTACCAGCCCCAACCAGTTGGAAAAAAATTAATGTAACAAGCAAATTTTATATCATCTCGGGAGTTTCCTATGCAAATGACGTCAGATTAGAATAAAACTAATAGCCCAATGGACTCAAGAAGGGATTCACAATGCATGCTGGTCAATATCGGCTTCAATGAGCCAAAGGTCGAGCAGAACGTCGTGGACGTTGAGCAAGGTCGAAGGCCAATGATGGCGATCAGAAGTCAAATTGAAAAAGAGATTCTCGAATGTGGAGCTACACATTTGACCCGTGGCTGAGTTTTGTCTCCACAATCGGGTGCTCGCTTGTTCATTTCTCTTTTCTTCTCCGACATCTCTTTTCTGCCACACCGCTCTTTCTCCAACCGGACATCGTTTTCTTGTATCTGTCGCCCTGATAGGGCTTCCTATCTTTTGGTAATGGATTTTCGTGTAAGTTTTCCGCTTGTAATCAGTGGCATACACTGAAATCCTTTGTTTCACAGGATTCCAGGTCTCCGTCTGTTTCTACCGCTTCTCCTATTCCGCTTGCGCCTCCGACGAACGATGATATAGAAGCAGTCATCCTAATGGCCACATCTTCTCGTTCATCACCGGACGGAAGAGCTGGCCCTCTCAAGGACACCCGGACACAGCTGTTTGTAGGAAATGTGCGTCGTATAATGTCCCTATTGATCATCATCTCCGCTAAGGCTACCTCAGCTCCCATACCGAGTGCGATGGCAGGATCTCAAGGATCTATTCAGGAAGGCGGGGACCGTACTCCGTGCAGATGTATCGCTGGGTCCTGACAATCGGTCCAGAGGCCATGGCACAGTCCTTCTTGCAACGGCGGAAGACGCTGGTCGAGCTATCGATATGTTTAATGGCTACTCATGGCAAACGCGAATATTAGAAGTCCGGCCTGACCGACTGCCCCCAGATTTCGACAGTCTCAACCCAAATCCCACTCCTTTTAGTACCGTCTCATCTCCTGGCACCTTTGCTTCGCCTCAAGTTCCGAGTTCGTCATTGGGTGGCTTTACTGATTTTGACTACAATTTGTTCGGGTTCGACAGGCCAAGCTCGTCGTCAGGCAATGCCGGCCGGAATCTCTTCGTTGGGAATGTGAGTGAATTGTTTCGTGGAGTAACTTACGGACATTCCTGTGTAAACCCACCTTCTTTGATTTCATGTTGACCGGCAATCATCCTATGAGTATACTGACTGCGTTCTCCTTGCAGCTCCCTTTTCATTGTCAATGGCAGGATTTGAAGGATTTGTTCCGGCAAGCAGGAACTATAGTACGAGCGGATGTCGCTCTTGGACAAGATGGTCGCTCACGAGGATTTGGTACCGTTGTATTTGCAAACGACTACGACTCCGAACGTGCCGTAAAGATGTTCAACGGGTAAGCTTCGATTGTCTTAACCAACGTCCACGGGGTTAATGTTTTATTTAGGTATGAGTACAACGGTCGTGTGCTCAAAGTGCATTTCGACAAATTCTCTCAGTCTACTCAACCAATGACAACTCCCGCTTCCCCTGCTCTTTCCGCCCTTCAAGCATCGTCCTCTCCTTTTCAGCTTTCTGGAAAAAATTCGAATTATATTGTGATGCCCTCTGGGTATATGCTTGATTACGGACCTGTCTCTGCACCCAGTTCACCATATGATGTTTTTCCACCGCAGCTACAAATGTCGATTCCACACCCTCATCACACACATTCTCACATTCATCAACCCCAGCCAAGCGCACAAAAGGTTGAGCACCCGGGGCATCCTTCACGGCCTCCTCTATTATCTGAAGTAGACCGATCCACAAACTCCTTAATGTCGACTCATATAAGCGATTGTTCGTCACAATCGGGTTCAAGTTCAGAATCGGTCAAGCCTTCGACTTCAGTAGCAACTTCAAACTCATCCCGAACCTCTCCTTCATCTGAGCACTCAACATCGAAATCCCCGCAGGGTCAATCACAATCCCCTCCCAAGCCACCCTCAACAACATCCCATCACTCGCATCCTCATCATCCTGGGACAATCAGCATACCACCCGCTTCTTTTTCCCTTCCCGTGCACAACATGTCACCTATGGGTGTCCCCATGTCGCCATATTACTCAGGCATGTCACCGTTGCACCACCCGCACGCCGTTCCGATGACACCTCACGGTCTTCCACCAATAACTCCTTCCATGCCTCCGTTTACGTTTCTTCCACCAATGCCTCTCCCGTCGCCTCATATGGAGGTGCCCCGGATGTCCGATTCGGGCCACCATCCATTAATGAGTCGCATGTCCGATGTTATCACCCCAACCTACTCGTACCATCCTCCAAATTCATCCGGGCAGGAAGTATTTCACGGGGAATCTCAATCCGAGGATGTCAACGATCAATCCTCGTCATCGTCTTCAACCACAGAGGGACATAAAGCCTCTCGTTCCTCTTTCGTCAATCCATACTTCCAACCCCCTATTCCAGGCCACCGCCCGTCTTTTGGGCACCCGCATCCACTCGCTCATCATCAACTCACCCCTTTTTCTCCTGGACTAGCGATGTCTCCGGGAACATTTTGGGGTCGGCCAGGTGCAGGTCCGAATCCATACATTAATCCCGCTGTTGGTGCACCCGTGCACGTCGTTCAAGGTTCGCCGGGAGGATTTTTCTTCCATCCTCAACACAGCCCAGGTCTTCCGGGAAGCGTTGGCGCAGAAATGGGAAGCAGGGGTGGTACAGAGCCCGGGGGGTACTTTGACAACGTTACACTGGGGCAAGGGTACTTCCCACCTATACAATCTTATTTTGGTGGATTAGGTGCCAATAGCGTGGAAGGTGAAATTTTGAAGGACGAGAAGGATAAGGAGGTGGATAAGGAACAAGAATTAAAAGCTATGGAGGAGGAACAGAGTCGAAAGCATTCGGTGGAACGTGAGCAGGTGATTGGGGGGCATACGAGCTATGCGAGTCCGACAAGCGCAAGCAGCGATGAATCAGGTGGCATCACGGATGCTAATTATCCAGACTTACCGACGTCTGTGGTGAGAAAAGATGGCTCTGCGTCAAGAGCTCATTCGATGTCCACCGATGTGTCTGAAAGGCCACAACTTCATCGACCGGAATCGGATCCTCCACCAACGACCATTAAATGAACAAAATCAGACGACGTGTCTATATGGGTGAATCGACATTCAATCAAAGTGTTACTGGTGTTAAGTAAGGTATTTTCGGTAAGGGTATTGGAACTCAAAATCTTGTAACTGTTATTTCTGTTTTGTTGTTGGTGGCTCTCCATACAAAGGGTGTTATCTCTAGATCAATTTCACCAACTTGCATCACCATGTTCCTCTGTTTCTATCGTATCGTTCAGTTCACCTGTTGCTATTCACATATTGTTTCTCTTCTTCAGTATACGACTTGCAGATTTACTAACCTACGTACCATAGTTCACACATTTTTTTCCCGAGTTCATTTTGTTCGTTGCGTTGCATATCTGTCTCGATTCAATTACATAACTTAATATTTCTCTCTTTCTGTTTTTCAGTCCATTTCTCTCTCTCAATGTATACATACATCGTTCAGATCAGGTTGAGATTTATAGAAAACGTTGAGTGACGATGATGATTCAAAATGAAAAGCTTTCAGAAGCTTGAAGATTTTCTGGAATGAAATTGCTCTTGGTTTTTCTGATCACCTGTCCAGCTCATCCCGCAATGTCGCTAACTACGGTTCTCTACAAATGTCGACCCTGGAACCCAAGGCCAACAATTGAGAATTACGTTGCGGCAGGTCAGGAGCGGTGCAGAAGATGAATTCTAATTTCCGACTGACAGAACGCTGAAAAGAAAGAAAGGAATGTAAATACAATCGACAATTCCCATCTAGACCATTCCCAAAAGGTAGTAAAAGGTTCGTAGATAGCTCTAGCTTTATTCCAGTCATCAAAACTTGCTCACATCCATAACTTGGCTCATATCCTCTTCTCGTCGTTCACGTCATCATTGTATTTCTACAACAGACGATCTACCACCTTTTTGACCCTATGGGTTCGTCGTCAATGCTTCACTTTTCACAAACAATGAAAGATCCCTATAATACCGAGTTTACACTGAACCCAGACGGACGGGTCGCAATAAAGGTCTACACAGAACTACCTCTCAAAGAGTTTACAGCGAATACCACGATAGTTGATGTGGTCACAATGGACGAGGTGATGACGATAAATGATTCGATTCTGATAATGAGCGGGAGACCCAAACCCAAATCAGGTGAAGGGCCCATCCTCCATCATCAGAGAGTCGAGAGGGTCGGCGAAATGGATTTTTACACGTTTAGTGAGCGCATACCGAAGGTGCGTCTGCGAGGGATGGAGGAAGAGCGGAATATGTCAGAGTATTTGCAACAACATGGATACGGGTGCGTTTTTCTAAATCCGTTCATCACAAGGCCAGTTTGCTGATACTAAGGATTAAATAAATGAAGAAAGAAGCGTAGATTCATCGCGTCGAGCGGTTGTGCATATACATGGGTTGATGTAAGAAAGATTTCCTTTCGTGACTAATATCAGTGTCCTTTGCTCATTATTCTTCGAAATCCAGTTTAGGCTAAAACTGGATGACAAGAAGGAAGTAGGGAGATTCTATCCTCGAAAATCCAGGGGGTTGTTTGGTCCAAAACGACCAGCTTATCTTGAGCTTGAACGAGATCGAATAGTGGACATTGGCGAGATTGGTTTTACGCTGGTCTGTATGTTGCACGAAGCAGACAAACACGCACATGTACATGTGTAGCATTTCGAGGTCTGGTTTTTATTTGACTTTTGAGGTGAAGGAGATATGTATATACCCTGTATCGTACTTTTGAATCATGTTGTACTGCTGTGTACGTTAGGATAATGGCATATTCGGGGAGGATTTTTAAACAGATTATGTTCTTAAATAAACTACTGACAAGCATTCTGTCAATGACTGCTACCCTTGTCTGATTCGAAGTTTTGGTGTCCAAGACTCAGGTTGATACTCGTCCGAACCGGTCTTGGGTAAGGAACTCCCTAGCCGTTGAACGCCTGGACTAGTTCCTGGGTCCGTATTGGATGTTGATTCTGGTGGGGATACAGGTGGTGCTTCAGGCACAGAAGGCATGGAAGGTGATGAAGCAGAATCGCTAGCGGATATTGATGATATATCTTGAACATGGCTTGGTTGAAGATCGGAAGAAGTCGAAAGTATTTCCGAAAAAACCCCATCCTGTATTCGAAGCTGGGCTCGTTCTTGTTGAAAACTGGCTTCTATAAGTGCAGCGTTGTGTTGAACGCGTCGTTGCCTTATGAGGTCCATCTGAAGCTCCTGTATCACGTTGTATCGATTAGAACGGAAGAATATGAGGAAGTGACATTCAGGCACGCACTTGGATAGACGGTGGATTAGGGCGTGTGTGAGCTAACCAGGCAGACCATTGAACTGTGATTGATCAAATGAGTGGCAGTAATGGGAGAGTATGCCTGAACGCACTAGGTAGCCTGTTCGAGCCGCCTATGTACTTCCACATATCATCTGGGTTTCTATATTTCATCGAACGTTTGGATCTCGCATAGCCTGTTTTTATTCAAAACCTAGACTAGAAATCTTGGTGAGGGATAACCTTACCTGCGCTTTTCAGTGGATTCGACTTTTCATAATAGGAGTTTCCTGCGAGAAGAGGAGTCACGGAACCCTGAGGAACGAAAGAACAGACGCGAACCTTCTAAATCTCTGCCAACAAAACCAGTCTGAGGTTTTGGTAAAGCGAGCATGAAATATACAAAAAGGTGAAATCACATACTGGGTGCCAAAGATTACGCCAAATCGTTCGGAATAAAGATGGTTTAGACATCAAATTCAATGAAGGGATGAGGAGAAGGTGATTGGTCTGAGTTAGGGTTAGGGCTACGGTATACGCGTCACGACGCGCGTCTCATGTATAAACCTTCAGTTTCTCTGTCAGATCTCCAACATCCAACGTCGAAATGAAATCCACAGACAAGGACGAGAAGAAAGACGAGAAGAAGCAGGAAAATAAAGAGGAGGAAGTGAAGAAGGAGCCTCCCACACCGTTGGCTGAGATCAAGAGCAACTTTGTGCTCATCGACAGGGCTGTTTCGACATTGGAGCCTAGGTTCACTCATAGGGTGCTTAGAACACTGACGACACTGGTGAAGAGATTAGATGAAACGATCATCCGTAATGCTATAGAGGAAGCATACCCCAAAGGTACATTTTCGGTTATTGAATCCAAGTAAGTGCAGGATATACCATTTCCCCGTAGAATCGACAACAAAATCCACCCTTGTCTCGTGGCTTCCTACAACGTCTGAAGATGTCGAAATGCAAGTCGATTCTGCCCCCACTTCCGCGACAACCGCCAAACCCGCCGCACCAGTAACCCCCGAGCCTGTTCCAGAAGTCGACATTTACCTGCGTCTGCTTATCATCAATCAGCTGCTCAAGTCAACGGAAGGCGTTTCGAAAGCGAAGGAACTTTCGGTCGAGACGGTCAAGAAGATGCAAGCTCTAAATCGCAGAAGCCTGGACTCTATCGCCGCCAAGGTCTGGTTTGCTGTTGAACGCGCTTTTGAGTTAGCTGGTGATATATCAGAGGCTCGTCCGTGAGTAATTATCAGAGATGATACTACTCTCAACTGATATCTTTTATCCCTTAGAATGTTCTTGGCCGCACAACGAACTGCAGCCCTCAGACACGACGATGATACCCAAGCTTCTTTGATCAACCGTCTGCTTCGCTCATACTTAGCTTACAGTTTGTACGATCAAGCTGACAAGTTAGTATCTAAAACGACGTTCCCCGTATCCGCTGGTAATCCACAATATGCGCGGTACCACTATTACCTTGGCCGGATAAAGACCGTGCAGCTCAACTACAGCGATGCCCATACGAATCTGCAACAAGCCATCCGTCGCGCTCCTCCAGCAACTGTAGCACCTGGCTTTTACCAAGCTGTACACAAGCTTTTTGTGGTCGTAGAATTGTTGATGGGTGATATTCCAGATCGGAGTATCTTTAGACATCCTGTATTGGAGAAACCGCTGAAGGGATATTTCGAGATTGTGAAAGGTGCGGAGTTATCTCGACCGTCCGCATCTCATATGTTGACCTTTTTTCCCTTTCCAGCTGTCCGTACAGGTTCCCTTTCACAATTCCAACAAACAGTTCTCAAACATGCTGCCCTATTCCAAGCCGACAAAACACACACTCTGATCACTCGACTACGACAAAACGTGATCAAAACCGGTATTCGTCGACTTTCGCTCTCGTACTCGCTCATCTCACTTAAAGATATCTGCGTAAAACTGCACCTGGATTCGGAGGAAGACGCCGAGTACATTGTCGGAAAATCCATCCGCGATGGTGTCATTGACGGTCGGTTGGTCCATGAGAAAGGGTGGATGGCTTGTGGTGGTGCCGGTGGTGTCAAGAGAGGGTACGGTGCCGATGTTGCAGAGACATTTTCCAGGCGAATTGGTTATTGTTTAGAACTACACAACCAGAGTGTCAAGGTGGGCTTCCGGGTAGTATTGTATCGTCAATTTGTTGCTGATCATAATCCGTAGGCTATGCGTTATCCTCTAAATGCTCACCGAAAAGAACTTGCGGACGCGGAAGGAGCACGGGAACGAGAGAAAGAGTTGGCAAAGGAAATCCAGGAGGGTGATCTGGATGATGAAGACCTTGGTGGCGAATTTTGAATATCAAATGAGTCGTATCAGAATGCAGTTGGCATTCATTATAATTGTATAAGAGGAGTAGAGACTGTAGAGTCGACAGTGGTCAAAGCTGTTCCGCTGATCCTAAACTGGAAGGGTGTGAACTTTGACGCGCCTTCCTTTTTAATCCACCATCCCAGTCAGATCCCAGTATTCCACATTCCCCAGTCGAATTTCATTTTTTGCGATTTTTTGTCTGTTCTTACAAATGATACTGTGAATACCTGAAACCTTATCATACCATAATATGCCGAAAACAGAGCTACAGTCGTTGCCTATCTTGTTACCGACAAAAGTACTCCCACAAGAACACTCAATACCGCACATTGAATGGACTCCGAAGAAATATCTGGATCCACCTCAGCCTCCGCCTGTAGATGATGCTAGGGCGCAAGAGCAGGAACTCGCTCATGCGAGGCAGTTCATGGACGGAAAGCTTGTTAAAAAAACGAGGCCGAGGCGGACTGTGGACTTTAATGGTGGGATGGGTAGATGGGCTATGGTTCGTGCTTCGGTTCGGTCAAGCCATTCGCTGTAAACACTAATTCTCTTGTTAGCTACGGAAACTGCGTCCAAATCCACTATATACCCATCAGATGAGACCTTGTCCTCCTTCAATCATTAATGTACGTACATCACCGTTCGTTTTTCTGCTGTAATCCAACATGAATCCAGCTTTTACCCCCAAAAGCATATCCAGAAAATGCTTCAACCTCCTTGTGTACGAAATTTGTTCATACTTCGACGAACAAAATACGGTGTCCAGTGAATGTCGTCACAGTATGTCTGAATCGTACCGTCTGACTTTCTCTACGTTTTGCTCACAAATCTGCGCCTCAAATAGTGGACCCCAGAAGGCCGAAGAATCCTCACTGGCTCAACTTCTGGCGAATTCACACTGTGGAATGGGCTAACGTTTAACTTTGAGACGATTCTCCAAGCGCACGATACAGCTATTTGTACGCTTGCATTTACTCATTCAGGCGCGTATCTCGCGTCTGCGGACAAGACAGGCGTCATCAAGTACTTCGAGCCCAACATGAACAACCTTACTGCCTGGCAGGGCTCCAATTCGCGAGAAGCTATCAGAGGGATTAGTTTCAGTCCAGATGACCGAAGATTTGCGACTGCAAGTGATGATTCGAGTGTTAGAATTTGGTCATTCCAGGAGAGCAGGGTAGAAAGTGTATTGACAGGTGTGCTCTTCCTACCTATTGGAAGAATCTTCTCGAGATTTATACCGTTAACCGCTCCAGGTCACGGATGGGACGTAAAATGTGTACAATGGCATCCAAGTAAAGGCCTTCTTGTCTCAGGAAGTAAAGACAATCAAATCAAATTTTGGGATCCTCGAACGGGCACCGTTCTGAGCACTCTGTACGGTTACCTTCGCTCTTATGTAAGGTCTCGTCGTTGATGTTGGCTTTCAGTCACCAACATAAAAACACCATCCAAGCATTGGCATGGTCTCCTAACGGTAACCTTGTAGCCAGCGCTTCTCGTGACCAAACAGTTCGTGTATTCGACATCCGGGCGATGAAAGAGTACCGGGTACTCAAGGGTCACAAAAAAGAGGTGTGCTGTGAGTTTGCACATCTCCCATCGAGTCGTGATCATATGTCTAATATTTTATTTCACACTAGCTGTTGCGTGGCATCCAGTACATCCAATCCTCGTATCTGGTGGTTCAGAAGGTTCTATCATTCATTGGGACCTCTCCTCCGAAGAATCCTCTTCCTCGACACCATTTATCCCACCTCCTACTGCAAAATCCAAGCTCTCCGACCTCCCTGCTCATCTGACACTTCCACCGACACCTACAGCATTACCTCGCGCCACCCTTGCTGAAGCGCATGATTCCAACGTCTGGTCTCTCGCTTTTCACCCTCTGGGGCATCTGCTCGTCTCCGCCTCCAACGACCACACAACCAGGTTCTGGTCCAGAGAACGTCCTGGAGATAGTGATGCAGTGTTTAGCGCTTTCGGAGAGAAACCTCCCGCTGCTGTAGATGGCGCAGATGGAGGTTGGGAGGATGAAGATATGGCAGTGCCTGGGTTTGGTGGGGCCGGAACAGCAGGCGGTTGGGACGACGGGTACGAAGGGGGAATCAACGACAATGGTGGAACAGGCGCATCGTATAGCAATGGCAATTTGTCTAACCAAAATGGGTATGACAGTGGCGACAGAGGTTTCGCTGGTGGCTATAGTGGATCCGGTGGAGATGATGACTACAGTATCCCAGGAATTGGGGATTCTGGCTTCGGTTCTGCAAGTGGCACAAATTCCATTCGTGTGAATGGCCCTTTACCACCTCAAGAAGAGGCAATATATGGATCGGGTACGGGCGCAGGTCCAGGCTCAGATGAATGGTACAGTGGAGGCGGGGAAAGGGAGAGAAGTGGCGGTGGGGACAGAGGGTATGATACCTGGAGTCGAGGTGGTGGAGCCCGGGACGGTGGAGGAGGAGGAAGTAGACAAAGATGGGGTGGAAGACGGACAAGATATTGAAGCCCGGCAATGTAGATTGAGAGATGGGATTGTCAAATAATTGTATCATGGTACGCGAATATAAGAACCCTCAAATATCAATGCTGCTAGCGATTATTTGCTTTCATTTGTACTGCCAGTGTGAGAGCAGTTGCTTGAGTATCTCATGCCCTGATGCTAATATGTATTGTAAGCAGAAACAATCATCGACTGCAATTCTCTCCAGCCTTTATACGGAGAGCCGTTAGGCACAAGCCCCCGAATAAATGACGACATTAAGTGAAAATGGACGTAGAGAACGGGGGAAGAAGATTTGTAGTCTTCTCTGTTCTTAATATCCACAGCGCTTACAGCACCAAAAGGCCCAGAGCAATTCTTCGTCATCGGGGGGAGGAAGGAAGTTGAAAGAAGGAAAGGAAGGGGGGATTACTCATAGATACACAGAGTCCCATAAGCAGATACACAAGTGAACTACATAGCAGGTACACATAAAAATAAATTGAAGATTGGATGTTATACTTCCACAGCAGTTGCTTGAGTGTCACTAGTATTTTTCCTGTCGGTTCCGCTGAAAAGAGACGATTTTCTCCACAACTCGACTACCGTCCCCATTGAACCCTTCCGAACATTTTGCAACTCGATTGGTCGCTGCTCTGCTTCTTGGACCGCTGTCGGTCGGGTATGTAAAAACTGCCAACCTTGCTTCACCATTATGACAGCTCCGTCGATGAGCCACCACAGGCCAAACAACAGGTAGGACAATAGCTCATGGACGTACGACCAGAATGATGGTTGATCGTTTGAACGGCGATCCCATGAGGCGAGGGCTGTGACACACCAAAAAACGAGGATGGCGACGACAAACCACGAACTGCTCATGATGGATAGGACTAGAGCATCAGAGTTGCTATAGCACATAAAGGAGAAGGCGACAAGGAAACAAAGCACACTGTTGACAGGGACCGTGATAGAATCAGTATACACAAAGGCGACTATGAAAGGTGGCTGCGCGTACGTACCCCCATAGTAACAGGGCGTATGGCACACTGTATAGGATAGCAAGTGACGCTACTCCAAGCCGATTGCGCTCCCATGAGTTGAGAAATTTCGCCTGATTATCAATGATTAGGTTTTGGCCGCATGTCTGATTAGATGTGAAACGTACAGCATCTTCAGCAGTGTCTTTGGCTTTAGCTCTATGCTTGCGCGCAAGTACGAGGCCAAGGATGATGCTCCCAAAACTGGCAACAATAGACAAAAAACTTGCGATCTGAGCTGGCGAACGACCAGGTGAGTCGCTTGAATTGTCTATGGATTGAATAGCCAGGAATGCAACATTCGCATTCAGGAGCACAGTATTCTAGTAGAAAAAATGAGAGATGGGTTTTGAGTATCGCAACGGACCTGAAGGAAGACACACGAAGAGGATGAGTTGCTGCCATTCTTCGTTCATCTTTCCAACGAAATCGGCCCATGCAGCTTCGTGAACAAGGCCATCCACCCACAGATTTGACAGTATTCCATAATACAAATCTGGTACCGAAAATAGGGCGGGAGACAAACTTCTCATCCACCAAGGACGACGGTGGTGATGGTGGGCCTTATAATGGACCGACTGATCGCGATCAAGCCGAGCACCGGGTTCGCCGTAAAAGTGAAGAAATCGTAATCGCGCTTGGGGAGTGTGTCACGACGTGATTCAAAGATTCAAAGTCGTACTCACTGAATATGTACATTATGCGGCCTGCAGATTACATGAGTATCTTGCGTACTCGGTGGATACATGAAGATACGTACTATATGCAGAGACACCACCACCAGTAGCAGGGTTCTCTGATAGAACAGAGATAAGAGATTGAGATATTGTGAGCAGATCCAGCTAGCTCACTGCGTATATTATTCAGGAGGAGCATCATATCTTTCAAATCGGATATATTATATGGGACAGTACTAGTAGAAGAGGTGATTGTATCTGTGAAGAAAGCAAGTTGACGACAGGCTCCGTGATGAGAGAGGATTAAGAACCGACCACCGATACAGTGCAAAAGAATATCACGCAATTCATCCACCGCCTCAACGCTGAGATTGTAGGAGTGTGGATACAGATGACAATGATACCAGTATAGTGAGGCAACAGCGTGTTCTATAGAAATGCGTAAGGTCAAGCATTGAGCTAGGGAAAAGATCTTACCGATATGGGTTGAGGAAGTCACTCCTTTTACTTCCCACCAAACAGAGAAAGAATCGGCATCGACGGTATCCAACCAAAAGACAGAGCGAGTGGCGTGATTCGCAATGTAATATTCACAAGTATATTTATCTGTCCTGCCTTCGTCTATCCGTAGGTTGAGAACGGTGTTCGCCCGCGATGATAATTGAATACCACGAGAACGTATAAAATCGTCGAAGTCGCTTATGCAGACCATGATACGATCCTTGGTAAGACTATCCATGATATTAGCATCTGTGTAGTACCTCTTCGCACAGTCAATCAATAGTGATACAAAATAGTTTAGTGAGACTCACCCCGTTTTGATAGACGTAGTAACAAGCGCCCTCCGGATGAATCATCTTTTCCCATCCCATTGGGATTGCTTTTCCGCTGTCACCTCCAACATGAGAAGAATAAGATTATCCACACTTTGGTCGGCGTACAGTTCAAAGGACGTTGTCATTGGTTCAAGGATATAAGTTGCACTTTCATCTGGACTGAAAGATATTGTCGTGTCATGGTTAGACTTGAGGACTCAGGGAAGAAGCATCTCACACATAAATTGACCGTTCATATCGAGGATGATTTTCGGGTGGTATGGGGTGAAATCTCTCATGTACTTCTGAAAGTCGTTTCAGCTCGCTAGTTTCAGATATTGTGAACGGAACTTCTTCCTGGATGGGGGACGTTTGCATGGGGACTGTATCAAATCCGGCCTCGTCAGGACCCCGATCGATGGTGATACTAGGAAGTGAAATTTCAGACCCAGAACCATGCCTACTTGTATAAGGACTGATAGGTCGAGATACAGATAATTGACCATGGAAACTAGTAGGACGGGAGCCTCCATAAGCACTATTAGGTCGTGAAGATAGGCGCGGAGCCGACCCACTGAGATGAGCGTGTTGTCCAGAAATTGCCGGAATATCTATGTGAGGATTCGAGCGACTCCTGGGATCCAAATGTCTCGTTTGATGGGGATGAGAAATACCCAGCGACCGCCGGTAAGACCGTTGTGTATTCACGTCGGTGTGCACAGAAGAAGCACTGACATCCTGCGATGACACTGAGGCATTGGTACCGCTGAATGGGTAAGGGTATAAGGTATCCTTGGCAGGCGTACGGCTAGCACATATCGTGGCAGAGATTGCGGGTATGGATGAAGGAGGTGGTTCACTGGCAACATTCTTTTCATCAAAGTCAGGGCGCGCGCTGAGCTTTCTCTTCTTCAAAGTCCGTTTTCTGCCCTGGCGCACAAGGAATGTGTAAAGAGCAAGGACGGATCTAAGAGCCAATTGCGCTGGTTGACTGTTATAGAGTTTCCGGAAGAGCTGGATGATTCTCTGGAGGAGGTTCATGGAGGTTTAGGGCTGAGCGTCGAGTTTTGAACATCAGTCTGATCGCAGAAAAATGCATGATGGCGCACGTCCACAAGGTACTCTGCTACTGTAAATGGAAAACACGAGGCGGATGTTCCCACAGCTACAGCGCCATCCTATACATTTACACTGCGAGGCAAAAATGTGCGTTTATGACGGGCAAATATTCTGAAGGGATTGAGCCTAGGCTAGGGTGAAATCATGAAGTTCCCTCTCAAACGCTGCAAGAAAAATCCCACATTCGTGCTTGGGATTCAATTTGACAAACATGGCATTGTGCCCTATTGTACCCTTTTCTCTGCGTAGATGCCAAGAGGAAATCGACTCATCCTTGCGATATGTCTTACCAAACATCGTTATAATCGTAATAGACTTTCCACATTTTAAACAGAAAAGTTTGAGCAAAGTAGTATGATAGACTGAGTAAGGTAATATGATAGGTTTGAGGTATGATACATGAAATCAGAGATAGTTCAGTATTATCGATGTCATGGCCTAATACCTCTACTGATAAGCTCTGATTCTAACCAATGGCTTCACTATCCGACTCGAGAGTAACGAGGACCAAATTTCTTCTCTTCCATTGCCTTGATCTCTGCGGGGGAAGACAATCAGCATCCACAAATATACTCATAGGGCGAGGGGGGGAACTTACGAAGGGCGAGATGTTTTGAATGGAACCGATCCATAGCCAAATTCCCTATCCTCCATATGAGTACGCTGACTGGATAGAGGATGAAAATGAAAATCATCATACCCATGGCATACCATAGGCCGGGAATACCCATATCTTTCCATGATCCACGAATCTCTCCCTCGTCGGTAAGACCCCACACGGGACTGCATTTGGTCGCAACATCGTCGCCACAAATTTTGCGAATGAGATTGCGTGCATCTCCAAATCTAGAAAGGTACGTTCAAATAAATATACAGAGCAGACTAGACATAACTCACCCAGTTGCAAAGATTACAACATCTGCAGGGATCTCACTATCATCTTTAAACTTGAGCCCCGTTTCTGTGAACGACTGCAACAAACTATCGTTCTTCAATTTAATCTTTCCATCTATGATCATTTGGCTAGCCCCGACATCTATCAAGGCCGTTATATTGTTTTATGCGGCACAAAAGAATTTCCGCGAACCTAGATAATAGCCTGAAGCCTTGCTCCAAGCTTCAAGCTCATTCAATTAGGCGATTTCTTCGAAGGAGATGGAAAACTTGCGACTCACCTAACATTCCGAACCCTGTACCATTTATACCTGTGTTCAACTTGAAACCACGTTTGCGGAGACCGTCGAGGATTTCCCTACACGAAGCTCGTCTCTTCAGAAAAACATTGTGGAGAAATAGAAAACACACTTGTCTTTCTCCGCAATTGCTTCAGTCGCTCGCTGCGCGAACCCGTTCATCATAAAGCCCAAAGGGAATGACGCATTGACTCTGTCAGCAAGATCTGTAGGCAAAGCACCTTCAGAATAGAGATCTGAAGGACATCGTGAGCGACTTTACTAAGTGGCTAATCAGAATATAATGAGCGACGTACTCGAGAAAAGAACCTCCCATCCAGCTTTTGTGCTCATGATGTATGTGGAACTGCGTTGGTACATCGTAACATCTGAAGGGCACGCATGAAGGACAGTGCTTGGGTATCGATCATATATAACTTACCAATTCCGTTGAGGTAGTAATCAGAGGCAATGTCATGGCCTGAATTGGCATAAGTGTGGTTCGTCACCAACAGTTACTCATTCAACTATACCAGATGTGCACGCCCCGATGACCACGACTCGCTTTCCTAAATGATCGGAAGCCAAATTATGTTGGCTCGAATGAAGGATTTGGCCTTTGAAAGAATCCTTGAACCTGATATCAGCAACTTAAACTCGGTAAGAATAGGCCTTACCATGCCAGGATATGAAGGGACATTCGGCTGGTTGCCGTTGAGGCCAGTGGCAAAGATGAGATGTTTAATGCCCTTGAAGTTATGATCCCTTCCATCAGAAAAGTGTACAGTAACAGCCCAACTGTCATTGGCTTCGTCCCGGTCAGCTTTCGTAACTTCACATGAGGTCCAAACGTTGAGTTCCATTGCCTCGGCGTAGTATTCCAACCACCCAGCAAGCTTGTGAAATCAGTGATAAGAGGGACTCTTGAGACATAAGTAGGACATACTTTTGCAGCAGGTGAATATGCTGGCCAGTTAGGTGGAAAGCTGATTGGAGATATTTCAGAACGAGGGTGCATTTCCTGAGCAACTAATTGCGTACGGAAGGTATGGCATGTGGTCATACCCTAAAACAAAACATGAGAGCAACATTAGTCCATTATGAACGAAGGACTTACAGACAGGATCGTGAAGGCACAATGCCTTATACCGATTACGCCAGCTGTCTCCGATTCGGGCGTTCTTTTCCACTACCAAGGCTGACACATCAAGCATCTTCAGTCTAGCGGCGATTTCCATACCACCTTGACCACCTCCTATGATCAAAGCAGTAGGTTCCTTGTCCTCAAATGCAGTTTCACGCCGTCTCAAAGCCTCCCACAATCCATGATTCGGCTCTAGATTGCGTAAAGAGCCGACTTTCTCTGGAAATCCCTTCAAATCTTCGAGATTAGTGAAAATGCAGTTCGCCTTCCAGCTACCGTCGATTTGAGGAACTAGACGTCCAATACCAGATGCGATCCCTGTATCTCCAACTTCGAAGTCGAACATGAATGATATCCATATGAGATCAGGATAAGGTTGTTGGACCCCAAGCAATTCGTCACGGAGTTTGAATGCCTTTGGTTGAGAAATCGATAAACGATCTTTAAGAAACTGTTTGATGTTGTTGGTACCGATGAAGGTACGGAAGTCCCAGGTAAAGGCTAAGATATCGCGCCAGTACGATTCATTGTTGAATAAGCCGAGCGTCCCTTCGACATCGTTGTCCTTTAAGCACGTTGCAAACTGGTTGAACCAATCTGAGGCAATCGCTTTCGCGTCAATATGATCGCTTGGTGATATAGACGACACTCCTAGATGGTCCAGAGTAGGCAAAGGAAATCCTTCAAGGTTCAGAGTCATTTTAATGGGAGAAAAATGATAATTGGAGATGTCATTCACGATACTTTTTATAAATCAAGGGCAGGGGCAAGTAGTGGTCAGCTGGCTCAAGGAGCTAGCGAACCCTCGGCAATGACCTGGTCTCTTGCCAGTGAAGGATCTAGGGTGCAGCGGCGTGCAACTTTTAAACTTGTCATTTTGCAAGAGTAGGGACCTTCGACCTCCTTCGATGCGTTATGGTTGAAAACGGATGCGAGTAGGAATCGAAAACATCGAGAAAGTTACCGGAACTTGCCGAGCTGGTAGGTTGGATCCGAGAGTGGTGTGTCGAAGCAACGACCAACAGGAGCACTTATTTACTCTATGCACTGGGTGAAGTACATATAGCTGAAATGTAGAGAACATAGACAAACGATAAACCCAGGAGATGCTCGAAACGGCCAATTTATCAGGACCCCGGAAGCTCCTAATTAGCGCACTTTAGGGCCCGATTTCACAATTAGTTTCTCGAGGCTGAAACGCTGATGCATAATGTCTCGTCTGAGATATATACACAACAATCCATCTTACACTCATTCCCCTTGTTTGGATATACGTGCCTGTCTATGATACAATACTGTAAGAGAAACGACCAGTACATTGTAGATACAACGGCTAAAATTACAGACGGTTACTTTGAAGACTCCTCATAGAAAACGAGAAAAACCCACTATCCAATCACATTGACAAAATATTGTCCAAATTTCCAGAAGGAACAGTACTTCCAAATAAAAAGATAGTTTATGATCCTTCAAACCATATCATGTTCGAGTTTTTCCCTTCGAAGAGCTTGCGGGATGAAATTCAGTGAGCTTTCCGAGGTGGTTTGCAAGAACCAAATCAATACGACGGCCACAAACAGCCCAGAACCAACAGCACAACATGTTCCAACCATGCCGCTGAGGACCACCATAGCATTGAGGGCAAGGAAGATGAGAGCCCATAGCTGGAGAGAACTTGGTATTGCATATGACAAGGCTACGAATTGGAAACCGTATTTCGTTGAATAGAGAGCGGTGAGATGCTCATGCTGAAATGATTCAGTCAGTGAGTGGAGGAGTGTAAAAATGAGTCCAGCTTACAACATCGTGCGCACAAGCATCGTCAGTTTCCAGTCGATCATAACGATGTACCAATACCACCGAAGTGAACAAACTCGTGCAAGCGAGGGAAGCAGAGGCGATGGCCAACAGGGGCTCGCATGGGACAAAGAACAGGAATCCATGAAGCCTGTTGTATAGCTGTAAGTAATGAAACAAGTTGCTATTTGGTAAAGCGCACATTATGATCGCAAACGCCTGAAAGAAAGGAGACGAGATTCCGATAAGTACTTATCATCGGAGACACGCTGATGACTGCTCACACTCCAGAAGGATCTTCTCCAGCCTTGTAGACACCGCCTAATGAAAGGCTGCCATTGACTAAAGTACACCAATCGGTCGACGAACAGGTCGTTGAGTTTAGCCAGATATGCATCGGACATGGTGAACGTAATGAATCGTGCTACAGCTGAGATCCGGCTTGAGGATTGGGGAGGATCATATAAGATAGCTTGATCTCGGCCAAGCCGACTGGTCTCCTGCCCATAGTGTGTTACGAATCTGTTGTCACCTGAGTTCAAAATCAGAAAAGACGTCAAAATCAAACAGCCGAATGGCTCACAAACTTGTCTCCAAAGCCTTGCTGTAAAAGCGCAGATCAGTAAGGCAAGGTGTAAGGTTATCCGAAGAACTTACCGATGACACAAACTTGATGTCCATCGGCGGTATTCTCTCGAGCTAATTTGAGGATTTTAATGAACTGAGCACATTCCTTCTGAGTGTAGAAGAAAGTGGATGTTTGCGATGTCATTTGATCTAAAACAAACGGGAAAACGCGTCTAAAGGTGTAATCGGTGAACCAAATCTCAAAGGGCATACCTGTCAAGCCGTGTGACAGCACGCATAGAAGATCCTCCACGACTTTGACAGGAAGGCCACCAAGATGCATGGGAAAGTGCTCGATGTGCGTCCAATAGAGGTATTCAAGGTAAAGACCTTGCAAAAGGGGACATCAGATTTCATCACATTGAGTGGAAGAGAAAAAACTCACTGAGATGAGATGGAGATACAACATCTGGAATTCCCAAGTCCTCACTCTGTATTGAGTCCAACCAGAATTGAGATCGTGATGCATGGTCGATGAAGTAGTACGCGCAACCGGTTTCTTCAATCAGGATGAAGAGCTCGATGGTCGGCAAGATCGGGATATTCTTTTCTTCGAGAATGGCTTCTATGAGTTTGACCCAGAAAAGTACGTTGTCCAGGATCTCCGGAGTATAGATATGCGCGTCTGTCGTGACCCGAAGGGCCGAGTTCCGATGAAAATAAAGTTGACCTTCAGGATGAATGTGTGCAGTCCATTGAGGCGGTAGGTAATGTGGTCTATCAATGATGGTTAGTGAATTCGACAAAGAACTGGAGGGCAGGGTAACATACATTGGGTTTTGGAAGCCGGGAACAAGAACCACACTACGGGGAGTTGCACTGAAAAGTTGTAAGGCGGGAATATCAAAAAAAATCTGCCAAATTGACGCTCACTATGTGCATTTTTCATAACGTCCTGTGGCCAGAGCAGTTATAGGGCGAAGATTTACCCGTGGACTGTCATCATGGTGGCCGATGGCCTTTTCAGAAAGCGCAAGTCCGTCCATGGTTTTGCAAAAGAGTACGTGGTAAATCCGGGAGGATACAACTAGTTTAGTTGTAGGTTTGTTGTTAAAATATGCAAGAGAGTACGTGGTAAATCCGGGAGTTTAGCTGTAGTTTGCTGTTAATATATGACCATGTGGCACAGCTTCTGCCTGACATGGCACCCATTGTGATTGAGCCCGCCGGTAACCGTGTGCCACTACATATACAAGCGGTACAAGCAATGCCATAATTTCGATAGTACAGCGCTTGAAGTAACATTTGAAGATGGAGACAATCAGAGAAAATTGAGAAGATAGTTGTGGGCTATCTATATCAGTCGCCGTCTGGAACGAACGATATTACAGACTGATTGTAAAGTTACATGCCAAATTTTAGGCGCTCACATAAGCGCCTTTGAATTTTGTATATTCGGCGAAGCGAAGCCTCCGAGCCGCAGGCAGTTCTGGGCAATGTCTAAAGCTGTCTAAAGGCTGTTTGCATAGAGGGTTTATCTGGTTGGTACATAACACGGAGGTCTTTTCTTAACTCACGCTCATGACGACAGCCTCAGACGTTTCTAAGAAGTATGACAACGCGTTATTCATGCCATTACTCAGACTAACTCAAATGCTCAGAGAGAATCCCTCATTATTGGATGATACTGCGGAGGAGCTGAAGGCCGGATCCAATGCTTATACCCTCGAAAGTACCGCAAATGATGACTCAACTCCCGTGCAGAAGGAACCTGGTACAAAAACACAGGTAGCAGTCGAAGGTCAGCGATCTGGGGCAGATATTAGTGAGGGTCCGGATAAGAAGGAGGAAATAGGAACAGAAGTGGACGAGAAGGATTGGGACGATGATATAAAACCTGTGCGACCTGAGTTAGTCTTTCGCGAATCGATAATTCATCTTGTATTCTGACTGTTCATTTAGACAACAACCTCGCGGACGTGTCAAACCTCCTGTCTCAGGTCCTTCCAAACCAAAACCCAAGTAAATTCTACGGCGCTACCCGTTCGTTGGTTTTTTTTGTATGACCAAGGCGTTCATAAATTTTATGTGTATCTCAGCTGCAGGTTTCGATTACCTCGTATAATATAGTATTTTCACCGAGTAATTTCTATTATCCTCATAAAGCAAGGATCAACAGATGCAGGTTGCTGAGCGCTCACTAACTATTTTCTTGCACACCTTTAAGTGTGGCATTTATGTATGACAAATGGATCGATGAAATCAGGCAGCTTGACTATGAGGCGTTTTCGTGGAAGAGCTGGAAGCAGGACTCTGGTATTGCGACTCTGGGCCGCAATCGGCATTGAATTCAAACTGTCCAGTGAGCCCTCGTCCCAAAGTTAGAGGAGGTCCGAGGATAGTCTAAATTGAATAACCTTTAATGCATTCGGCGAGATAACCTGGAGATAACCATCGATAATCGATGTCGTCTTTACAACCCTGATTCCGAGTAAGCGGCGTAGCAAGTTCCATCTCGCATCTTCCAGTCTGAACAGCATCGACGTAAAGTCGGCCCAAATGAGGAGTTGAGATTTTGCAACTTGACGCCTCGACTCAAATAAACTTGGCGTAGAGCAACAAACTGACAATGTGTATAGACCCGGGCCCGGTGTAGAGCTACAGAGATTCTGGATACAGCTTTTGAAATAGCACGAAGATCTCCAAATTCCAGGGCTCTCAGTCTCATTTTGACGGACCAACCCAGAAGGTTAACGATTTAGAAGATGCATGGACGATGCTGTTGAATCGGAAGGTTTCAGCTGCTTCAAGAATGCGGACCTATGCCGACCCGGAGTCAATGGAGGATTCCGCGTAGCATGAGGTAACGTACTCTTGGGAGATCCTATTCTCCATCGTGGTTATTGCAGCTCCAAGGAGAATGGACATGCATAGATTATGATGAAATTAGATCGAAGGGGGTCGTGAAGGCGTATGAATCCGAGAGGTAATGAGCTGGCCCAGGGAGCGCTACATGTTAGCGCAGGAAGCCATAAGTTTGCACGTATCGTATATGGACGTAAGATCTCCAATCTTGAACGTGCAAACGGCTCTTACGAGGGCTCAGCATCGCAGGAGGGCATACTAATCATTAGGGTTCTTGATTGAGTTCCTGTTATCTCCCTTGTAGAGTGAGAGTCTGAATACCTTTTGTACTGCTTTGGGAAATTTTGACTCTGGTAATTGACCCAGGGAGAGCCAATGAGCGCTACAGCCAGCCATAAAATTTCACATGCCGTAGTATTGGACGAAGCATCTTCAGTGCAAACTGAACGTCCAACCAGGATTCGTAACAAAGTTCTATAGGATAATAATCGTCGATCGGCGCATACGAGAGTTCAGTATTAAACTTGAAGAAGGGGGTACTGAACTGAGGTTATTTAGTGGACTCCTGCTCCCTCCTGCTATTTTCCTTATAGATTGAGAATCTGAATACCTTTGCGCTCCTTTTGACAAATCTCCTCAAAGTGCCCAAGGAGACTATTTACTGATTTTTTCCTACCAGCCAAAGGGCAAAAACCGCACTATTATATCACATTTTTGCACAAGTTGGTGAGATTTGTTGTTGGTCGAAAATTTGAAGTTGTGAGCGAACATAAAGAAATAGGAACGTAGTCGGCTAGCTGGTTATGGTGCATCCCGACTCGGAGTAGCTTGCAGGTGGCCTTGTATTTTGGCAACAAGCATGAGCTTGTACCGGTACGTCGTAGCACCTTGAAGTTCAAGTTGCCGAGCAGCAGCCTTCGACAAACTGTTGCACTCACCGGCGCCTAAGTGTGACAGGTAAAGAGATTGAGTGACATATTGGTGTCACATCCATTCCACGTCTACACATTAAGTCCCTCGCATATCTTTTCGCGACCTCCTTATAAGTTGCCGACCATGTCGGTGATGCTCACCAAGTTCGAGTCCAAAAGTAACCGCGTAAAGGGTGGGCTCTCAAGCGAAAAATCGCCTATTGGCCCTGTACTGATATTTTGCGATACAGGACTTGCTTTCCATCCTACTCAACCTTTGCTGGCCGCGGGCCTCCATAATGGCAGCATTCAACTTTGGAACTATCGCATGGGGGTGCTGGTAGATCGTTTCGAAGAGCATGAAGGCACGTTACTTTGGAAAGATTTCCAATGCATACTAATGAGCACTTCTAGGTCCCGTTCGAGCCGTACATTTTCACCCCAGTCGCGCATTATTGGTATCAGGAGGTGACGACTACAAAATTAAAGTCTGGGGTACGTGACGCGCTTTCTGTTCAGCTGTATCTAACTGGTTGGTATCATCAAAGATATACGACCACAAAACCGAAGATGTTTATTCACGTTGCATGGTCACCTTGACTATCTCCGAACGACCCAATTTCATCATGAAATGCCTTGGATTGTGCGTCTCATCTCTCATTACTATATGACGAATGATCAAACAGCCGTACTAGATTTCATGTTCGGATGACCAGACCATTCGTATATGGAACAGCACGTCAAGAAACTGCATTGCAGTTCTTACAGGCCATTCGCATTATGTGATGTCTGCTTTCTTCCATCCCAAGGATGATCTTGTCGTCTCTGCTTCCATGGATCAAACTGTTCGTGTGTGGGATATTTCTGGTCTTCGCAAAGGTTCTCCCAATTCTGGTCCCGGCAATTTCGAAACATTCGACACATTCTCCACTGTGAAATACGTCCTTGAGGGCCATGATCGCGGTGTAAACTATGCAACATTCCATCCAACGTTGCCCCTTATTCTTTCTGCTGCAGATGACCGGACGATCAAGATTTGGAGGATGAGCGAGACTAAGGCCTGGGAGGTTGATTCTTGTCGCGGCCACTTCAACAACGTCTCTGCGGCTATTTTCCATCCAAAACATGAATTGATAGTATCTTGCGGCGAGGACAAAACAGTTCGAGTCTGGGATCTGGCTAAACGCACTGCCATCCAAACTTTCCGAAGGGAGCATGATCGTTTCTGGGACCTAGCTGCGCATCCAAATCTCAACTTGTTCGCTGCTGGACACGATAGTGGTCTTATTGTCTTCAAACTTGAACGCGAAAGGCCCGCATTCGCTGTCCACCAGAACACCCTCTATTACATCCGCGACAAATACGTCCGCTCCTACGACTTCGAAACTGCCTCCGACCTCGGTCTACTCAGCGTCCGCAAATTTGGGAGCCCATATGTACCTCCACGGACCCTCAGCTTCAACCCTGCGGAGAATGCTGTCATTGTCACCATTTCTAGTGATAACGGGATGTACGAGCTGACCACGTTGCCTAAACCGTCTTCAGCTCAAGGCGGAGAGTTGAAAGATTCAAGTGTGGATGGGAAAAGAGGCTCTGGTATGAGCGCAATTTTTGTGGCCAGGAATCGATTTGCTGTCTTGAACAAGACCACACAAGTAAGTCTGTTTCGGTCCTTTGATAATATATTCAATATTTACTGTGTTCAGCTCATTGAGGTCCGAGACACGTCGAATTCGGTGGTCAAAACCATCAAGCCTCCTGTACAGACGAATGAGATTTTTTACGGTGGAACCGCTTGCTTGATTCTGAGCTCGACCGCTACAGTCGTTTTGTACGATATCCAACAGCAGAAGACGTTAGCAGAAATCAACAGTCCGCCTGTGAAGTATGTCATGTGGAATGCCGACAGCAGTCTTGTCGCTTTAATGAGCAAGCACAGTACGTCGCATATATCTTCAAGAATTCCTGTGCTGTGATGACATTCTTTCAGCGATAACCATTGCGAACAGGAACTTTTCGCAGCACAGCCTCATTCATGAAACGATCAGAATCAAGTCTGGTGCATGGGATGACGCCGGAGTCTTCATCTATTCCACTCTCAACCACGTCAAATATTGTCTTTACCAAGGGTGAGCCTATCTGCTCTCGTCTTTGCCTTTCCAGATGTGAATCCTCTTCGTACAGCGACCATGGCGTTATATGCACGCTCGATAACCCTGTGTACCTTACCCGTGTTAAAGGCAAAACTATCCATTGCCTTGACCGCTCTGCTCGTCCACGCACCATCACGTTTGATCCTACCGAATATCGATTCAAGCTTGCATTGTTGAAGAATAACTATGAAGAAATGCTATACATCATCAAAACTTCGACTCTTCTTGGACAAAGTATAATCGCTTACCTTCAACAGAAAGGTTACCCGGAGGTTTGCTGAATATGTCACAGTCGAATGATAAATGCTGATGTTCTTTGTCCTCAGATTGCCCTGCATTTCGTACAAGACATAAATACACGGTTCGAGCTTGCTATTGAATGTGGAAACCTAGATGTGGCGCTCGAAACAGCGGAGTCAATCGACCGACCGGATTGTTGGGAACGCCTAGCTCAGCAGGCCCTCAAGCAGGGTAATCATAAGGTCGAGGAATTTCTCCTGAGATGATATTTTGTGCGCGACTGATCATATAAACAGATTGTGGAGAAGGCATACCAGAAGACTAAAAATTTCGACAAGCTTTCTTTCTTGTACCTTGCTACTGGAAGTACAGACAAGCTTTCAAAGATGCAAAAGATTGCTGATGCCCGGGGCAATCCCATGTCGAGGTTCCACAATGCGCTATATGCTGGAGATGTCATGAGTCGTATATCGGTGTTAAGGGATGTTGGCATGTGTGAGTAGGGTCTTCTAACAATTTCCTTCCTGTATCTGATTGCTCTGTATAGATCCATTGGCGTATCTCACGGCAAAAAGCCACGGACTAGAAGAGCTCGCAGAAGAGATTCTTGAGGCTGCCGGTCTATCTCCCGCTGATGTTGATGACGTCCCTTCATTTGGGAAGTCCAGCCGCAAACCCCCGCCCGTGATAAATCCCACCACAGACTTTATCTGGCCAAGCCTTTCCACCGGTGAAAACTTTTTCGACCGTGCTCTTGCTAGCGGAAGTCTTGAGAACGGAATTGAGCCCACATATGTCAACGGAGACGCTGCCGCAGGTTCATTGGCGGCGTTGGATGACTGGGCTAAGGATGAGGAGGTCCATGAAGAGATCGATCCTGAAGAGGGCGGATGGGAACTCGATGCAGGCGCTGAGTTCTCTGCTTCCCATGAAGTGCATGAGGAGGTCGATGAAGAGGAAGAAGAACTTGGAGCAGGTGCTACACCAGGCATCAGCGAAATTGAGCATTGGGTGAAGAACTCTCCCCTTGCCGCGGATCATGTTGCTGCTGGGTCTTTCGATACCGCCATGCAGGTGGGTTTGACTATATTTTCGCATCATCCTGTCAGCTAATTGTCTGCCAGCTTTTAAACCGCCAGCTTGGAGTTGTCAACTTCGAACCACTTAAACCCTTATTCCTTTCAATTTACCGCTCATCCCATACATATATCTCCCCTGTTGCTTCTTTACCTCCCCTCCAGCTTCATATCCGTCGCAATCCTTCGGAATCGTCTCTTAGTAGAGTTTTGCCAGTGGCGGCAAGATCTCTACAATCTATCCGGTCAGAGTTCGCAGATGGTGCTCGGGATGTGGCTGGTAACAGGCTCGTCAATGCCCAAGCTACATTCCGCTCTGTTTTGAGAGCACTTCTGGTCGTTGTTCTCACTTCTGATGAGGAGGCTAAGCAGGTGGGTGACCCTAACACTATGGTGCGATCTTCCGTAGCTTCACTGACAATGTTATTATAGTGGAGAGATATGGTAACCTCCACTCGTGAATACCTGCTTGGGGTTTCAATTGAGCTAGAACGGCGACGGGTGGCTCAAGAAGAACCTGACAATCTCGAAAGAAATCTCGAACTTGCCGCATATTTCACTCACTGTCAGCTGCAACCAGTCCATCTGCAAATTGCCCTCCGTAGTGCCATAACCGTGTTCGGTAAGGCAAACAACTCGGCGCATGCTGCTCGCTTTGCAAAGAGATTGCTAGAGCTAAAACCTGATGCCAAAATTGCTGCTACGGTATGCCGTGCTTTTGTCATCTCGTTTTCATTGTAGCTCAATTCCCATGTAGGCCCGCCAACGTGTCGCAGCAGGTGAACGTAACCCTCGAAATGCTGTCGAGATATCCTATGACGAATTCACGTCATTCGAAATCTGTGCAGCAAGCTTTACAGCTATTTACAAAGGATCTCCCTCAGTCCAATGTCCTTACACTAATGCCACCTTCCAACCGCAGTACAAAGGTTCATTAGATCCTCTCACAGAGTTGACTGAGATTGGTGCTTCAGCGTCGGGTCTGCCTGCCCCCTGGTAAATCATGAACTGCTTTCTGTGTAGAATTTGCTTGGGTGGTCTGTTTCCCTGTACATTCTCAAAAGTATCATTAAATATCATTGCATGGCGGCCCATAAATGTCACCATCTCCGCCTAGTTGTGGTTCACCAGTATACAATTTGAACTTTCTTCGGCCTCTCCAGCAAATGATACAGTGCGTACATATTTTTGATTGTGGCTTCTATGAATAGAACTACAAGTGTTTAGATTTTTACATTGCATTGATTGCATCTGTAAACGAGGGTATGTTCGATTTTGCTAACTCTGTTCGAATCCATTGGCGTATCATCGGCAGCATCCCGCTGCATTCCTTGCAATATTTAAGGCTGCAACGAAATTCGTCCCGCCATGATTGCATGAATAATGTTTCTGAGAGTGGTTTTGTAATCAACGACAGAACGGATCGGCGCCAGAAGGTTTTCCAGTAGAAACACTGCTTGCAATGTTCAAAATCTGGGTCATGACTGTAGAGTTGCACAGATGCCTCCACATATCGATAGCGAAACGAAATCTGGGGTAAATGAAGTCATACATGATTTCAAAAAAGTGTGTGTTTTCACAAACCCAGGAGGTGCATATTGAAGGGTATCTTCTGAGTATGCGTAAGGTACTTTCAAATGGAAGGTCGAGGGTTCCTGGAGCCGCTGCATCACGGGTATCATCATACCCATGTTTACAGGCATACATGAAAACCTCCAATGGGTGTTTGAAAGCGGCGGCTCTATGACACTGTTAACCCTACTCTCAGCGTCCCAAATAGATATGAGAAATGCTTACTGCATCTGAATGCGACACATCTGATTTTAATGTTCTTTAGACCAAAAACTTGTTCTACTCGCTTAACTTACCTCCATTATGGCGGGGATAAAGAACTTTTCGCTCGCCTCTGCTAGCCTTTGCAAAAGGCCAAATGGTATTTTATCTGACCTTATCCAACGCTGCCTATGGGTAAGCTGAAGGAGCATTAGCAGCACATCTGCTCTTTCATCCATTCGTACAACTCCATTGGCAACTATTCCCGACCCAACGACGGGAAAAGCATCACTGAATGCAGCCAGATTTTCACTGTGTGCACCAAAGATAATTCCGTCTTGTGATTCGAGTACAAGGTCAGTCTTTTGGATGCAGCCGGCTGAGAACTCTGCGGTGAACGCGGGTATAAAGTGTGTACCAAGGACTATGTAACTTACCTTGGCATGGAGGTATGTCAGGAAGAGAGTATTTGTAGCTCGCGTAAGGCCTTATATCTTCGATTGAAGTCTTTTCCACCATGATGTAGCGGATTAACATAGATAAATAGGGGTTATAATGATAAGATAGGAGGCATTTCTACATCGAAAACCAGCCGGCGAATTCAATGATCACAAGTGAATGTGTGAAAGCTTCGAGACTATCTTCTCGGCCTCAGATTCCGCTCCCTTCCCAAATTTCTCTACACAGGCCGTGCAAGAAGATGGCTGCATAAATCCGTGATCAGATTACTAGGAAGACCGTATCGATGACACGGTACTTACAAAGTCCGCCCCAAGTTGTATTGCTGCACCAATACAGGCTGCATCGTTGATTACGTCTTTGAGCAAAATTAACTTGGGTGCGGTGTTGTCAGAAAATTTCATTGCCCGACTTACCGAGTTCTCCCTGAGCTGCAGCAAGAGCACAAGCCGCCACAGTGGGAACCAAATCAATGGCACAAGCTGGATGCATCCAACGCGTAAGCCCCCCGAAGTACACTGCCAGAGATGAAATACAGACATACTTTTCATGGCTGCGCCATCACAAGTCGAGCTATCTCGTTCCCAAAGTTCCTCGCTATTCAAAGCAGAGGGGAGGGGCCTAGCAGAGGCCATGATAACCATATATCCGAATACAGCTGCAACAATAAAACGCATGGTTGAAAAGATACTTTGTCAAAAAGGTTGAGCTTAAGTCGAGCTAATGTCCAGCACAGTCGATGAGGACTTTAGCAGTATGCCTGCTGCCTTATATACGACGCACCGAATATCTCACCGGGATGAAACCAAGGAGACCACAGCGTCGTTAGTCTCAAGATTAAAGCAATACATGTCATGGCAGGTTTGTGTTCGCCATAAACAGCAGTACTATTATTGACCTAGTAGATTGATCTCCGCTCTTCACGAATTCACAAACACTGCTTCAGCCGGTTTACTTTATGATTCCTGTACCCGTTTCACCCGCAAAACCCCTCCGATTTTTCTTTCTATCCCACTTGCATTCGACGAAGAGCCTTTTTAGAATATCTTGAAGGAGTGGACTCTCTGCGTCTAGTGGTTAAACGACAGATCGTTGCTGATTCAATGGCTGTATCGTAGCCATGAAGACATCAGCCTCAACGACTTAGCTTTGATCTTTGAATGAGAATGCGGATAATGAATCAAAGGCGTTGTACATACTCTTCATTGAAATGCTAACGCGATATGTGTGGGGATAACCTCGATTTGAAACATAATTGCATAACTCGATACAGGCAACGTAGACTATAAAGTACAGCTAAACATTTGGGGTATAGGTTTATCGCATTATCAAACAAAATATACTCACTACATGATATTTAGGCCGAACGATTTGTTCGCTGTTCAAGCAACAACTAACCGAAACACTCCCGCATCCCAATCAAGAATGCACCCGCGAAACCACTTACGATCCAAAAGATAATCAACTCTTTTAACGCCTTGCCCCCGTTCTGCTGTTTCAAATGAACCTGCCGCCCGACAACGTCGGTAGTATGCCTTAGTCACTGCCCTTTCTTGAGACAGGGACAAACGATTAAAGTCGTCGTGAGTGATTCTCTGGTGCAAGGATCGGTGAACGTTTATCAAAACATCGAGAAATGTGATGGGGGCTTGCGTGCCAGTGGTATCGATACCGAAACCCGGGGTCCAAGCTGCAGAGATTGAAGAGGATAGTCCACCAACATACTGTTGCCTGTACGCGATGTCAATGGGCCACTCTGGGAGGAGATCCGAAACTATGCGGAGTCGAGTAATGGGTGGATGAGTGGCAGACTGATTCAAGTATTCTACGGGACATGGCCGAGCTTGGCCTGCAGGATTGATTTGTAAAGGTCGGAAGTCCCTGGAAGTCAAGTCCAAGACAAAATCACCCTTCCAAACATCAGCGTTGAGCCATGGATGAAGCATGAAGCCCGAGGGTGAAGCCGGGGGCGCGATCGCACCCATATAGGTAGATGAAGCCCATCCGGGTTGATAGTAACTACCTCCAAATGAACGTCGACGTTCGCGAAAGTATGGATCAGAGTCGGGACGATAGCCATCCGAAAGGAAAGGAGACGTAGGTGGGATAAAATCTCCATGATAAGAAGGTCTACGCTGTCGCACAGGGGCCGCATACATGTTTTGATTCCAAGCAGGCTCGTACGGGAATGGTACAGTGTTAGGGCTCCCTGGCGGTACCAATGAGAGAGCAGGAATCTGAGGGGATCCCCCAATAGAAGCCGGGTTGCTGTACGGGGAGGCAGGGTATAAAGTAGCATTAGGAATGAAGGGAGAGTTTTGAGGTGTCTGATGATTGGAGATCATATAGCCCGAAGGCGCAGTAGCGTATGGAGAGTGTGGGGTGTAAACATAAGGACCAGACATGGTTGTTGATCAGCAAGATTACCTGCACTTTATAGGTAACAAACGAGTTGGAGCAGTCCGTAAATGGCGGCGCTGACTAGAATGTACTAGAATTGAGTCACTGGGACACAGACCAAAGAAAGAAAGCGCAGCAGATGTGATTGTAAAACGACAAGCGCTGGGTTGGGGACTGAAATATGGATAGAGAATTGGAAAAACTTTAGAAAGACGACTGTAAACCAGACTGGGATTGGCGCTGATTGGCATTATGAGCGCTGATCGCTGATTAAGGTTTTTTTCTACTAACCGCGCCCTTTAGGTCTTACATAATCTACACAATCTGCACTTACATCGTATACATAGTCGAACATGAAGATATCATGCTCGCTTTACAACAACAAACTTTCGCATGGACGCTCAATTGGTTTATTAAAACTATTCGTTTATGATTCGGGAAACGTTCATCAAGTGTTTTGGCATTGGCCTGAGAGGTCCGGAGCGTCTGAATGCAAAATGAACAAGACAAATTGGATTTTTCAAAGCGATCCGAGTCATTGGTCCTCGGGGTTGATTGGTCGACGCTGTCGCCGCAGGTATCCGAGTTAAGTGATTACCCTGGCGCACCCTGGGGTTACCTTCTATTCAGCTTCTATCCCACATACCAGCTTCTGTTCCGCATGCTTGCTCTTCGGATACCCAAGTTTTATGTCAAACCGAAAAATCCGCTGTCATTAACCCCTTGCGAAATCTCAAAAACTGCGAACTTTCCCCCACCGTAAATGGCCCAGGTCCAAATTCTCAGCTGAAAACTGAGGCTTCAATATCAAGCTTCAATGCTGTTGCATCATCATGGCCGTCGAATGTATCGTCGTAATCCCTAATCTATCCCTTCCCTTTCTTTTCCACTGGAGGTAATTGACGAAACGGACGTCCTGGCTACCTATGGTATTTCCTTTGAAATGGTCTGAACCTCGTCCGAACTCTATGAACCCGAGGCTAGAAGGGAAAAAAGAACCATGGAAAAACTTTTTACTCTTTAGGTCAACAACATCCTTGATAACTGAATACATGCCATGACAGAATAAATGATTTTTTGAAAATCAAGGTAGGGACGATATGTCAGGAAAGGAAAAAATTAGCCGGCGCGGTCATTGAGGAACAATAATGTTTCATTAAAATATCAGTCTATTTTCTTCCGTTTCCCTCCAGGATCTTCCTTCACCTTGTCATTCCTTTGCTCAACATGAGGATCCTTCTTTTTCCTGTCCTCACCTCAATTTTCGTTCAAGTTCTCTCATCCCCGAACCCAGTAAAGAGGTCCGTGACTGATGTCTGCAAACAAATTGCTAGTGCAATTTCCTCTGCATCGGACGTGTACTATCCTCGTAAGTCGCCTTAGATTTAGACAATCGTCGTCGAAATAACGTGGAATGCTTTCAGTCGAATTATTATACGATAAAGATATCAGTCACTGGGCTTCCTCTAGCTCTGCCGTCGCTGCATGTAGCGTCGAACCAGGATCAGCGGCGGACGTTGGAATCATTGTGGGCATTGATCAACGTATTTAAAATTTTTGACTCATTGTATCTAGCTTCAAATACTGGGCAACACAACCACTCCGTTTGGGGTGAGTATTACCTTTCTAAAGTCGTATTCCTGTTGCTTGATTTTGGGTACTACAGGTCAAAGGCGGAGGACATGCTTCCAACCCTAATTTTTCGTCGACTACTGGCGTACAAATTGCTATGTATCGTTTCTCAGAAGTGGTATATGACGCGGCATCGAGCACTGCTACAATTGGTGCAGGACTGATCTGGGACGATGTATACGCTGCTCTCGCTCCTTACGACGTCAACGTAGTTGGTGGACGTGTCACCGGAGTTGGGGTTGCTGGTTTCACGCTTGGCGGAGGTAACCTGCCCGTTCTTTTTTTTTTTTTTTTTGAATCTGCTAATCACACGTCAAAAGGTTATTCTTGGAAAACCAATCAATACGGACTAACAGTGGACACTGTGACTGCCTTTGAACTTGTGAAGCCTGACGGAACCGTGGCGAATGTTACTCAGGACTCGGACTCAGACCTCTTCTTTGCATTGAAAGTACGTTAACTAGACCCTGAATGTTTGAACCCCGATGATTTATCATATGGATTTAATGTAGGGAGGATTCAACAATTTTGTAAGTACAAACGACACCTTCCATTTTTGGCTTCGGAACTCACTATTCATCCAGGGAATTGTCACACGATTCACTCTTCAAACATTCCCTCAAACACAGGTTTGGGTTTGTGCATTTTCTGATGTTATCGATAACTGGGTCTCTACTCACATGTTCATGTACACTAGGGTGGCTTGATCACGTTTACAGAGGACCAGATACCTAAAGTCATTAATGCGACTTACACGTTTGCGTCCAATGTGACTGACCCCAAGGCTGCAATTATCACGACGGCAAACTTCCTCCTCGGTCAGGTATTTAATTATGTATCATTATGTTGACAGATTGTTTGATTAAATCTGGACAAGCCTGGAATTTCGCAACTGCTATTCTATGATGGCCCAACCCCACCTGACGGTATCTTCGACGACTTCTTAGCGATACCGTACTTCACCAAGGACGTATCAACTAGAGACTTTGTCTCCCTTGTGCAAGCTTCTCCCTCCAATGCTACCGCTGGAACTAGGTACTGACCGTCAATGCGATTTATCGATGCTTTCATGCTGATCTAGATGACCCGCATAGAGCTATATTTAACTCTGCACCTCTACTGGAATTAACACCAACTGTGCTCGATGCTATCATCAACGAAACGGTGGTATGTCGTTTTTCAATGAAATCTACGTGCATTTCCAATTATGACCGTCTGTAAATAGTTCTGGGGATCAAAACTGAGCTGGGAGAGTGGCTCCTTCATTTCTTACGACATCGAGCCCTTCATGTCCACGATCTTCACGCACAGTGATTCTGCGTCGGTGTATCCTCCCTCTCGCTCAACGGCGTACCTCCCCCTCAACTTATATTATGCCTGGGGCCTGGAAATCGCCGATGACTCGTTCCATAGTGCTATTAAGCAGAGCGCTAATCAGATCACGGCAGTCGCACTCGCAGAGGGTCAAGTCGGTGTGGATACTGCTCCTATCTATCCCAACTATGCGATATACGATACACCGTTGGATAGGTTGTATGGCGATAACGTTGCAAAGATGCAAAGCATAAAAGCTATTGTCGATCCGGACAATGTTATGGGTCTTACAGGGGGGTTCAAGATATAATTTTTATTCAGAATGGGAGGCTGTCCGAATTGGATACACTTCATAATTTTCGATCCTTTTTTCATTGCATACATACTCTTATGCTCAGCTTCGTCAAGCATATACATTCGCTACACTATAGTCAAATCCTCATCGAATCTCAGACCCTTCTACCAGACATCGATTCCTTTCGTAAGGAAAAGTATGACCTGCTCTGCATGGACTACGTTTTTCATCAAGCGATTGGACGAAGTTTATGTTCAGTTCACACCGTTCGGGTGGGCTCAGCTGAATATCCTGTGAATATTCGTCCTTTGTAGGTTCATTGATAAGTCATTGATAAGATTATATTGTGGCTTCCAAGTTTCATGTCGATCTCTCAAAGGCAATGCTTTCCCTCCGAACAATTTGCCTAGAACGCACTGCTGATTTCTGCTGATTTTCACGAGAGGGCCTCATGTTGCCTGTGGTCGGGTTATTTCTGTTCTCTACGTATAAGCTGGTCAGAGGACAACGCTTCCTTGTACAAAAGCCGTGCCCTCGATTCTGTCTGTCATGAACAACTGAAAACATTCAGACCCTCTTTGATATGCTCAAGCGCCAAAAGCTCAGCAGGCATATGCACCGTAGCACCGCCCATATTGCTTCACCTCCAACATAGCACTTTGGAAAAGGTGTATATCTCAATTTTCTTGAACGTAGCCTACAGCAACAGCCAGATTAAATTCTGATATATCTATTCAATCGAGTTACAATGCTGGATTAGCAGACGCTCGGAATCAGTTTTGGATTCGGAAAGAAGCATCGGTGTGGGGTTCGCGCGCCTATATTTTTCCTACTGCTTATATTTACCACCGATGTCCTCGAAGTTAACAGAGGTTCAAATACAACTTCACCTTGTCTCTTATCTGGCCAGTGTTCATTCTCGCTCCTTTACTGTATAACACATTCGGCCAAACTTGGCCCAAGAATTTAATCTATCATACACTCTACTGCAATCTACCGCAATCTAATACATAGTTTGGACAGCCTCTGACAGCGTCCTCACGCAGAGGCGCTTTATCTGCATACCAAAGGTATGTATTATTTTTTGTTTAGGCTTGGAACATCTCTCACAGCCTAGTGTCAGGGCTAGAGTTACATAAAACTCTAATCTACAGAGTCCCCCTTACTTTGGACGTTCTCATTCCCCCCTCTCATTATGCCTCGACGGACCCGTAACATTCACTTGTCCGAGAAACCCGCAGAGCTTGTGGTTGGACAGTCCAACGCGAAGAAGGCGCTTTTGATTGGGATAAACAACACCTTGATGGAGCAGGACGGTGGAGGCAGGAGAAGTCGGTTGACTATGCCGCATAGGGATGTTCACTCGATGAGGACCTTACTTATTGGTGCGCTATCCCAATCTCGCGATCCTTCGGTTCTAATCAAATTTTCTGCACCAGAACATTATCATTACAATCCGAATGACATTGTCACCCTCATTGACGTCGACGATCCCAAACAACTTCAACCGACTAGAGCCAACATTGTGGGTTATGGTGTAATCCTATTTCTGAGTTCCTCTTTTGACGTGATTTCTCCAGCGCACTGAACTGAGAAAGCTTGTCGCTGATGCTCGTCGTGGTGATCGCTTCTTTTTTCATTGTAGGTTTTGTTGCATAATCCTCGTGTGGTGTCCCTCAATCTTTCGCACCTCAGACTCGGGGCATGTTGTTCAAACGGAAAACCAGGATCATACTGAAGAAGATGGCAAGGATGAATGTAAGAGCAGTGTCATAGTACATACATCTTTCTGATTGCCTGATGATCTTTCTTTTAGGCCTTGTGCCCTGCGACTCGGACGGCGTGCAAAACCTCATCAAAGACGACGTATGTTACAATCTATGAGCCGATGCGCGTCTTGATAATCTTCATCCCATAGGAGCTGCATGGTATTCTTGTAGATCAACTTCCACAAGGATCTCAACTCGTAGTATGTGGTCCGTTGCATTTGCATTGATTCTCTACTGATCACTGTTTTCCAGGCCATTCTCGACTCGTGTCACTCCGGTTCCCTGCTCGACCTCGAGCATTATCGGTGCAATCGGGTTTGGGTCCCTTGGATGTCAAAAGGTAGAAGGAAAAGTGATCCAATAAGGAACAAGGGTGCGTCTCTTTCACAATATGTTCCTTCAAGCCCTTCTCATTCCTTCAAAGTTCAACGTCACAATGCCCTCATTGTCTACCAGCACAAACGAATCAGCGGCGATCGTGTCAAGCAGCGTAAAACAACAATTCTCAACCATCCTTTGAGTCCGCTTTCTCCTGAACGCCGACGCCGAGCTTCCCGAGAAATGCCCGCTACCCCCATTAGTCCTGTAACATCTCCTGCGTCTCCTTCAACCCACAAGAAGCTGGCGCGCGCCTTAACAAAGCTAGACATTAACGCAACTAAGGGCATCAACGCTATTCGGAGGAGTTCCACATGGAAAAATAGCCCTACTACTGGACAACAAGTCATGAAGCGGTCGAAGACGATCAAGTCGCAGTTTGTTCCTTGGCTGGACATCAAACGGGCGGAAGCTGCTGCTGCTGAGGGCGACACGGATCAAGAGGGTCTTCAATGCGAGTCTCCTGTTCAACAGTTCTGTAATGGATGGTGTCACCATAACTCGTCGCCTACTTCGCCGAAGTCGCCGAAGTCTCCAGGGTCACCAGAAATTGTGCGCTGACCTCTACATAGCAGTCTTTATATCTCATTTTTCCATAGATCTCATTAGCCTCCTGTAAGGACAGTCAAGAAGCTTGGGAGGACAGCGAAGGAAATTCAATGACTCAGCGGCTGGTTGAAATCCTCAGTGCGTGCAGTTTCTCTGTCATCCAATATCTTACTTATGTCGTGATTCGTATAGAGCAGGATCCCCATCCCACAATGGGTGACCTGATGGTTACAATTAGGTGAGTCGGCCCCCAGCTCGTTTCGCCTTTCACGTTGCTTACTATATATATGCCCGTCATCAGTCACAAACTTCATGATGCTGCTATGAAAGCTCATACCCAAACCAAGCAATATAAGGATAAAGTTGTGCGCTACAGGAAAAAGCATCCAGAAAAATGCAAATATCCGGACGAGGGCGATACAGATGGGTTGAACTTGAATGATTTTCAAGATCCTCAGGTGAACCAACCTTGACAAGTTGATTCCTATCAATATATGCTAATCTGAATGTTCAGTTATCCAGTCGGAAACCCTTGGTATGTTTGACCTTTGATATCAATGTCGGAATGGCATCAACTCAAGTAAATTGTTCTACTTTCAGGATATGAGACGACGTTTCTACCTGTAATATTAACCTACATCATCTCCGGTCGCTATCTTTGTTATCCTTGAGGACTCTGCGTTAAGATCTTTCGTTGGTTAGTTTTTTGGTTGATTGCTCCACTTGTGTTCTTTTTTCTTGCAATCATCTAATCCATGCAATCACCTCTTCATTCATATTTCGCTTATTTGCCCCAAAACCTTGATGTCGTCCAGAAGTGTTCTAGTCGTTATTTGTCTTTCGAGCTCTTTTGAGCCTTCAAGTCCCAGATTACCTATATTCTTGCTCGATAATTGTGTAGTGTACAATGCCTTTAGGTATGTGGTGTTGGTAGTAATAGTATATAGTTCAAAAATACGGTGTTGGTCGCGTCCAAAGTTGTAAGCTTGTACACTTTTGAGATTTCCAGTCGCGTCGCTTAGGCCATGTGAAAAGCACATGTCCGTGACGCCATGGCATTGCCAAGCAATGGCAAGCATTTATCTTTTCGAGCCTGGCGCTCTGCCTCCACACTCATTCCCGTACGGGTCAGGCCTATCTCTGAATCATGGAGGCTGTCGTTCTTCAGACTCATAGTCGGGAAAACTAGCCCTATCAACCTTCTTCACCATGCGCTTATACATCTTCGTGCACGCGCTTCAACCCTCGAAAGTCTTGCGAATCGCACGAATACGGCATTCATTGTATTCTTCCTGAGCAGCTGATATTATTCAATGCCTCAATGATTATATATATGGATCAGTATTGGTGAGCTGATTGAGATCCAATAATGACTACACTCATCGTGCTTCTCTCTCTGTTCACTGCAGCTTTATCCTTTGCAGCTGAAATACCTAGGCAGACCAATGATCCTTGTGCAAAAATTGGGGGGCAGAAATGGGTTTCCCCCGAGGACTTGAGAGCTTGTTATACTTCATTTGCAGTCGATCCTGTCATCAAGGAAAACGTACGAGACGCTGTTTATGATTCCTTATAGGAATGATAGTCTGTTTTCTTTCGTTTTGTCTAGATTGTCGACGTAATAAACAAAACTCTTGCCTTTCATACGTCCGTTAATTACGAGATATCAGCACCAGAGCCGTTCACCGAATTCGTTCACGAGGATTTACTGAAAGACCTTGCACGGATCAGCACTCAATCGTACCCTTCAGACTACGACCTTCACCTGGATCTTTCGCGGACGTTGAAAAGGCTCAATGACGGTCATTGCGTATGGATAAATTCTTGCTATGTGGGTTTCTGGGTTGACTATGGGATGTAGTATGCTCATTCTATCTTGATTCAAGGACTGTGGGTGACTGCAATACTTATATGTATCTCGGCTAGTGCTCAACACAGCGTCATAAATAGCTCTATTTCTGAATTTCCTGCCGATACCACTAGCGCTCCTGACTGACTCTACTGGCGCACAAAATGTCCATATCGCTCCCGAAGCATTTGCAGCCGCATCCGCGGAGTTTCCTGACGAGATCACCGTTTGGCAAGATGCTCTGCCCCCGGCTATCCAACTACAGTCTGTGAGCAATTGCCTCTATACTTTATTGGATGGTCCTAAAATCTACAACAGCTGGACGGCGCTAAAGTCTTGTCTATAGAAGGCCAAGATTCTTTTGTGGCTGTTGACACAAATGCGCTCATCACAGGAAGTTTCCAACCTCTAGGAACACGCCAAAACTCGTATGTTTCGAATCTCCTATGGTGGCACAATCATTTCACTGTTACCATCCAGCTTTTTCTCGAGTTATCAATTTGGCGACAATGGCTGGACATACATAATGGGTGACTTTGCACAGCAGTCGTTGCCTCTCAATGATTCCGTCAATTTGGTCGTGCAACGAGTGAACGAGAGTACTACTGATGCTATCCAAGTGCGTAATCTAATTTATCAATTTCTAAAGCTTATCGAACTTGTTCATTAGTTACCTTACCGCGCGCGAATCAACCCTGATACTGTCAAATTCACTGATTCTGCGTCATATCGCGCCAACAACTGCCTTGCGATTCTTGGAACCAACGGTGTCGATCTAAATGAAACAGGCGATTCTGCTGCACCTCTCAGCGAAACTGTCATGAGGTTTCAACAACAGCCGCCTACTTCGAAGACCTTCACCAAGGAGCGTGTCAACGTGATGCTCGATACCATACCGCTTTCTGACGTGGCTCTTCCTCCGAGTCTAATTCCGAGCGTTCCTGTGGTCAGTGGTGGTTTTGGCTCTGGGCAATTTTATATGTTGCCGGATAATATCACGGGCATATTTGCCCTCGGCTCGTTTGGGGGCGACACGATTGACGCGATGATGAGTGGAATGTTAGAGGGTTTGGTTAACCTCAAAAGTCTAGGCGCAACCCAACTCATTGTTGACGTTGTGAGTCTTATTCTGTACTTTCAGATCATAGCCTGAATTCCCTTCCTGGCAGTCAAATAATGGGGGCGGGTTCATTTGCGCAGCCGAGGTAGACTGCTTTCATAGTGTTTTAGATGCTTTGTTCATATCTGATTGCTCCTCGGATTTGTAGTTCCTTCATCGCATCGTACGTGCACTCCACCTAGACAATGTCTATGCCTTCAGTGAATTCCCTAGATCGTTGGTCCCAAAAATACGACTGTTCCTCAAGCTGGGTTGGATACGAAAGCGCGAGACGGCCCGCTGGCTCGTTTGATTGTCCAGCAAATCATCCAAAGTAATGTTGACCCCGATCAGGACCTTCTATACAATCCTCTCAACTGGGACAATGCAAGCAATGTCGGATTTGCAGCAGACGATGACTGGCTATTACCTCCTGTCAATCTCACGATAAACGGGCACGCAGACGCATTTTCGCAGCGGTATGCTGTTAAAGCTTCCGGCTTGTATCACAAAGTGACTGTTTCTATAGACTCGGTCAAGAATGTCAACCAAACGGTTTCACTTCAACCCCCCCAGATGAAGCTCTCTTCTCTGCATCGAATGTAGTCATCGTTTCGAATGGCAGGTATGCATATTTGGCGTGCAGATTTCATGGTCTCATTGTGCCAATGATCCAGATGTGCCAGTTCCTGCTCTCTTTTCAGTGTGAGTTGCCGTATTAGACGAACCGATTTCTCACCTTTACGAGTCTTTAGATTACCATGGCAAAAGAAGAAGGCGTGAAAACTGTGGTTATCGGAGGGAAGAGTGACGTTCAGCAGGCATACTGTGGGACTGTCGGTGGTCAGTCGACGGTATTTTCTGAACTAGATACTGAGGTCAAGGTATAAGCATCTGAATGGATAGCTTGTCTGGCGTGTTTACTAACTTTCTTGTTTCCTACGATAGACCGCGAAATTGAAGAATAATACTTTGGCTCCGCCCGATCTGTGAGTATAAAGAAAATCTGGAAAATAGATACCTAACTAGATCCCAGGCTGGTGAATGGAGTGCAAGGGGTAACTTGGCGATTAGGCTTCGGTATAAAAGACCCCACACAGCCTGAAGGTATGAGCCATGTACGTCTGTAAGTTTTGTCTCCACTTACATTGTCCTGTGTACAGAGTGGCAACCTCACCTAGCAACGCTCAACCTTTTACTCACCCCTAACCTGTATGTGCTTCTACCGCTTGACCGTATATCGGACTAACTAACTCAAAGTGTGAACAATCCTGTGGCGATTTGGACAAATATTACCGAGCAATTGCTCACAGGCAAAAGTTGAGATTTTCTGAGCGGGCTTTCCATTATGTACCATAGTAGTTCTGAGTCCAAGTCGGGCATGGTCTCAGGATGATGTTCCTGCAGTGTTCAATCCGCATACTCTATAGGAAACACAAAACTCTTGATTTTGTTTATGACTGAATACTGAGTACTCTTATAGCGGAACTACCGTCCCGAGTGATGATGGTTTTCGTCCTCGCCGACAGCTGGAACACCAACCGGTGCTACCTGAACCACTGAATGACATCTACTTTGCGTAGTTGTTGATGTCAAACAACATCAAATGAATCTAAATCGACGCTTCGTCAACGCTACATGACCTGCGTCGTATGCGGCAAGCCCTGGGCAAAAAAGCGGAGGTAGACTCGTAAACTAAGAGTAATCAGGTTACTGGGTTGAAGACATTTGACTTCTATAGCGCACAATGGTTGATGTGAGCTCCGTGCTGCTCCATGGCCGTCGTTCAAAGCTCTGGTACTATTTCCCTATTCACCAAATTGCTATGCCGACGAGCTAACAAGGCCTCGGTAAGAAAGGAAAGAAGAATTTAATATTCAATCACCAGACGTCAACTCCACACAGAGGTGAGAATCGAAATTTGAATTTCGTTGAGCCGAAACAGGATCAAACGGCCTGGCCGGATCAAATGAGTATGCGCCAAGGGAAAACAAATTATCAATGATGGGCCAGCGCTCTGTTTTCCTCTCTCGTCCACATACTCTGGCATGAACATCCCACTTCTTCTACGTACATATATTTCCTTGCGTTGAATTCAAAAGCCTTTCCTTTTGTTATTCGCGTTCCTTCTTCTTTCAACCTTCGTTCGATTCATTCAACTTCACCTGATGGCTTATTATCCTCCCCAACCCAACCAAGGCCTGCAAGTGGATAGGCCACTTTACCAGGGTTCGTCATCCTCATACCCATTCATTTCCTCCCGTCAGCGACAGGGATACGAGGAGCAGCCTTATCGAGATAACCCACGACTGAATGAACCAAAAAGTACTTTTGATCATTTTGATTCTCCCCGAGATGATTGGTAAGTACTACTGAGTTTTACACTGGTGTTGGTCTAACCACATGTCATAGGACTGGAGCTGGAGCTCAGGCGTATCGAAAGAGAAATCGTGGCAAGTGGACTAAGGTATGTAGTCACAAAGTTAGTTTCTCAATTTATACCGAGGTGTTTGGTTATTTACATAGGGTGGAGGTTTATGGTGCTTGGGGCGGTTCTTCTTCTGCTCATTATTTGTCACCATATATCTTGTTGTTGCTATAATTCTCGGTCTTGCATTAGTGGGTATCACTTTATACTATTGGCATGCGATTGCGGTACTGACTATAATGTAGTGGCTTCGCCCTCCCGCTCTGTCTTTCACCAATCCAGGTCTGGACCCAAACCAGCAGGTCAGCACCCGAGGACCTTTTTTGCTGCCATATTTCTCAAATAACAGAGTATTTAGATCAATCTTGACACAACACTAACTGTTCCCCTTGAGCTGAATATCACGTATGTATCATATTTAAATGCACATTTGATATAGTTCATGACTCACCTTCACAATATTTATCAGAGTTAACAACCCAGATTTTTTTGCTGTAGACTTCAAGTCATTGTCAGCTGAGGTAGGTATATTGTTTAAAGCATATAATGACAGTCTTAAATCAATTCAGGTTCTTTATCCTGACGTGGATAACACTCTTGTTGCTAAAGGAAACCTGACCAATCTCATTATCAAATCCAATGAGATCACCAACTTCACCTTCCCTATTAATATCAGCCTCAATCTAACTGATGAAAGTGCTGATGGGAATGATTTGAATGTTGTCCTTGACCTAGCAAATAAATGTGGTATCATTCCTTCAGGACCGAAGTCACCAATTCCGCTCACTATAAAGATTGGAGTATGTCAAGTCACATTACCTGATTTCTTTGCTGAATGCATGTAATGTAGATTGGTCTAAGCATAATTGGCATCAATCTCTCCCTTCCCTCAATTTCCTTCACAGTCAATATCAACTGTCCAATAGATAACTCAGAAATTGAACAGAAACTACAAGTTGAGTGTAGATTGTTCATGGATTGACTTGTTCTTATTGACTTTTATATGTGACAAGGGAATACTTGGTGGTTTATGAGATTCAAGAACATCCAGCAAGGCTATTTTGTTGGCATAAAGGCCATTCCAAATTTCATGACACAGAATTTGTGATAACTTATCCTGAATACTTACAAGAATTGGAGTTGTATATATCAAGAAAGTTAGGGATGGATTGACATAGTCTATTTGGTGAATACTAGGATAGTGGTGGTTATTCTTATTATGCATGGACTTACACAATTATGGCCTCAAGACAGACCCAGTTGTTTTTGTTTATGGGTCCCATGAAAGCAAGTTCAAACATGCCAGAGTTTGAACAGGTAGACATTACTATCCCATTCAGTTGCAACCCCCAAACCTCAAGGTTCAGCTAGTTATTTACTGTCCAGTTGGGTATATGGGACAGTACTCACATCATCTATGCATATCCCAAAGTCCTTGAGAGGTTATAGGCTGCAGATATTAAGGTGACATGGCTACAGTGAGAAAGTGGACTGCTTCAGTTTTACACCTTTTGATTTCTTGTCCACTTACGTGAATCCCTGCACGGCGTTTCCGAGCCTAACCAAAATTGAGAAGATTTTATTGCCACTATTGAGGATGAAGGCCAGACTCTTACCCTTCTCCTGCTTCAGAGATCTCTTCAGTGCAGAGGCCAACGTGATTGAGATATAAGAGGAAGTCCTGCAAATAGTTGAAGGTTATTTTTGTGAACAATACACAAAATCATACATGGTCGCACCTCAAACATGGAAACGGCCTTGTGAAGCATGCCACGATCATATTTCCCTGCGCGCGTTAGAGCTTCTACACACCTGACACGAGATAGAATATCAGACTGTACGAGATTCAAGATCTAATTACCACAGTGTGCAAAGACCAAATGTGCCTTCCTCGCCGCCAACGCCGTCATCTGCTTTGTGCACATCATAACGGAATACGAGATTCTATAAATTCATTAGGATTCTGAGACAGAACACCAGCAGTAAAAATTGAATCACATTCGACGTCAGTCCTCCTCTTTCTGGAGTTTTCAGAATTTGCTTCAAGGTATTAGTGAACCTCGGATCCGACTGAATGGTATTAAAAATGATCAGAATGAAAACCATTCAATAACTCTGTAAATTCCTACTCACGGCCTGCATGAAAAACACCAAAGGCATAATTAACACAGCCGAATCCAAAATGCCTGCTTCTTCATAGCTTTGCCCAAAGTGCTGGTGTTCTTTGTTCCAAGCCTTAGCCATGATTTCTTCATAGATCTCATCACGAGTGGCAAGCCATTCATTGCGTTTGGGACATGGGAGAGAGCGTTTGTCAGCAATACGGAGGCCTATGGTAAAAGGCATGATGTCAACCCATATCAAATCCTTTACTTGTGAGGGAGGAAGACTGGGAACGCACCTCGATCAATGGCAACCCTACCGCAGCCATGATAAGCTTACTAGACAACTACTAGTTTCATCTTGCTCACCATAGCATAACCTACATAAAATAAACTGAGGGCAAAATTCTGCACAACACATTGGTACATACCTTCGAGTACTACAAACGATCATTGCACATTAAACATTCAAGTCCGCAGATTGAGAAGAAAACTTGCACGTACAGTAAACTGCCTTTTTTTATTCCGGACTTCCCAGATGGACAGATCAGGCTGCCTCCAATTGGCCACCACATCTTTGCACCGGCACAGAAATTGCATGAAGCTTAATTTGCGTAGCAACATCATACTCACAGTCAACTCTACAAATAAGTGTTAGTCCGATGGTGACATATATGAAAATACCGGAAACTCACAACTCTCGTACAAGCACCCTATTCGAAACATTGAAATCAACGATTTCTTCACAAGGATGTTAGTGTAACACTCGCCAGTCGTCGTAAGCCTGGAACCATCTCATTGATCAAAGTATCGAAAGCAACATTTACAAGAAATTCGCACCAATGGTCTGCCGAACTGCAAAGGGTCATTGGCATACATATATGGACTCTACTGTAACATACCTTTTGTCCAAGATAGATACAGTCCATCCTGCAGTTCAAATGTACCGCAAATGATTGTTTACGCAGTTTCTATCAGTTTGAACACCATAAATCAGTATGCCATATAAGTTGAACTACAAGTAATATTCGTACCGTTGTATGTCGTTTGATAAATGTGCTCACAGTTCACCATAAATATCCTACACGCATCCGCAATGAGATTGGTGTTTATTAGAAGAGCAAATGTCACCGGGCTGACAAGTTGTAAGTGGTCCGCGGCTCCATTTCCAATCCTGGAAAAGTGCACGACGAGTAGTCCCAGTGAGAAAAAAGAAAATACTCTTAATTGAGCAAGAACCATGAGCGTACCGAACAGGTTTAGATCCTTTATGCCCATCTAGATGTGTCAATTCTATTTCTTCTAAGTCTTTTTTGCCTAAAGGTCGCGACAACAGACTAGTCAATGCAGTTTCAGTGTAGAGAGGAAGACTTACCATGAATTGTATACATAATTTGGATGCTCCCGTCGGAGTTCTTGTTTCTCAAGCGTTCAAAGATGAATTCCATGTATGCTGTCGATATTAATTAGATATCCATGGGAACTTTTTGACTAGGTATTACCATTTGCTTCATGAGTGAAACCGAGCCGAACAAGTGCATATAACGTGAACGACGAATCACGTATCCACGACGCTCGGTAATCCCTACAGAAAGACGTCATTTTTCATGAGATTCATCAAGAAAATGAAAAAATCTTAGCTGACCAGTTTCTCGTCCCGCCGATGTACTCCGGAAGACTGAATGTCGGGCTCGCCACAACTGCTCCAGTAGGCTCATATATTAGAAGCTTCAACGCTAAAGCGCTGCGATGGACAGCTTCCTTCCATGAGCCTGAATAGTGGCTATTACGAATCCAGTCATTCCAATATTTGTTAGTTGACTGGATGGATATGTTGTGAATGAAGCGAAAAGATCAGATTCAAGTGATTCAGTACGTACAAATAAGAGCCCATTGACAAGGTCCTAAACATGGCATGAGTGTGCAAGTAACCTATACATTTATACAGGCTTGCCTTCGTCATATAGGGATCATTGGAGGGACGAGACTTGGTTGTGTTGATTCCGGCAGCTAAGGGATCAGCTTCTTGTTCCACTTCTTCGGTAGGAGGGCTACGCAACACAAATGTGACAACTTGACCTTCATGGAGAGTCATTTCCGCTGAGACTGCAGGTCCTTTGTGACCCTTGGTCGAAAGGTCCAGCAGCTGGAAGTTGACCTCTGGCGGTTGAACGTTCTCCTATGACCATATTAATTGTATAGGAGACAGCAGACGAACAAAGATGCTTCAAAGACGAACCAAGAGACTATCCGTGACACAACGGAGGTCAAGGGTGAGTGCGTCAGACACGAAGACAGCTTTCTGTTGTTGGGATACGGATGAGGAGCTATCTTCTACTATAGTTGTTGTGTGGCTCGAGCGAGCATAGTTGAAGGCCGGGGCGCATTGCACAAGGATAGGCATTCTTCCCCTGATGACCTGGAGACCAACGTATTATATAAAGGGATGGTATGGTACATCCCATGAAGCGAACCTCGACTCGCCGAACCAGCCAATGAAGTAAGGGTTTATTGCTAGCTGCGGTTCCTCGAGCTTGGCGAGGCAAGAAATCTGATAGAGTAATTCGGCGATGAGACCGTGTCGGGCGGAAACAAAGAGCAGACTACCTGTGACACTGACTACGCCTTTCTCGTTCAAAAATTTGGTTTGTAGAATCTGGAATGACAATGAGAAAAGCAGGCCTTCCGCGTGACTGATGCATACAGTACATTCGAGCTAGGAAGGTAATTCTGCTTCGTCGAAAAAGCGACGGTGGGTGTTATGGAAAAATGACCGCCTTTGTCCTATAATCGCGTCTTCCGGGTCGACGAGAGAAATATGGCGAGAGAATGGAGCATACCTTGTCGAGGATTCTCGCAAACACCGAAGGTGAATCGAAATCGGGAACGCAATAACTTTCAACTACATGACTCCGAATTAGCATACCAGCTGATACTATGTCCGATTTTGCGCGACTCACTAGATCCATCGATGCTGACCAACGCAGCAGTGTGGAGGTTCCCAATCCTGTTATGAAACCTCAAGTGAATTCTTGCTCGACAATGGATAAATATACTTGCAATCCATGATCTGCAATTGCAATGTAGTCTCTGTTGAATGCTGAGGGTGTTTGCATGTTGTAGTCGAAGTTCAAGAGTTGTGTACCGGGACTCGGCGACACTCAGCCGGTGATCTCCCAAGTCTTATAGGTAGGTGAGTTGAGTTGCTGACCATATTGCCCTCCCCTGTTCCCCGTTGTTCCCCGTATAACATTCCAGCGTTTTCGTTGCTTTGGACATTCCGAAGATTCTTTTCGGAGGAAGAGCTATTACTTTTCTCAGGGTTATCTGTTCATCAAGTGTACCACCACCTTCAATACCTTCTCTTTATATCTGCCTTCGTCGAAACAAATTCTGGCTCCGAATACGATACGATTGCAGTTCTGATCTTGATCAGATTTCCATCCTTCACAAATTTATCTGTTTGTTTTGAGGGTCTGCTGTTCGAAACACTATACACTAAGCAGCGCTAAGCTAGGCTGACTCGAGGGCCAACTAGAAAGACAGCAATCGCAGGCCTAGGTATCGCTACCAACCTTCTTGTGGTTGACTAATGTGGATGCGGTATCAGGTCTTATTAGGTGCGCAGAACTTGGCGAACAGCACTCTAATCTTATGCTGATATTATTTTGTTATGCTCAGCCTCCTACGCATCACCTTCAGAAAATCCTTACCGTCAAGATTAAACCCTAATACTAGCGTGTTCAGTCAAAGCTTGCATGAACTTGAATGTCTTCTTCGTTACTGGCATCTCCGAAAGAACGAGAAAGAATTCCTGATCTGGAATTGCAATTTTCTCAACGTTCGTAACGTCGACCTGTCCAAGGTAAGTAGACGTATTCTAGAGTAATCATATACGCGGTGTAGGAAAGACTAGGACAAGGAAGATTATCGTAACCTCTCTATATCGTACCGCGTCTTGCAAAAATCATATCCGCCCACTTCAAGTTTTCCGCGACTGCCACAATGGGAGCTCCTAAATGGGTTCCAAGAACTTACGGAAATGCAGAGGAATCTATGACACTAAGATTGCCAAAGCCATGAACAAAGAACCGTCGAAGCTTCGTATGCGCTAAATTGTGTCATGGTAGTACATACCCTCAGTATTGTGTATATGTATGGCTTGATGTCCTCCCAGCCCCATCTAGTATTCCTTGCATCTCTCCACGCATCGTACTCGGCTCGGAGACCACGTCCGTAAAGCATTTGGTTTATCCTGTATGTTCCACCCAGCACGGAACATAGATCGTCCAAAACCGATTTGTGGGCCCAAGTATCAGCAACAGGTCTTCGTTCTAGGCTTTCCTTTCCTTTTTTATCCGTGTACATACTGCTTATGTAGGAGATGAATCACAAATGATAAGTCATACACCACAGACTGTCCTCTTTCATTTTTCTATGGTAATGTATCATTCCCTGGATGATTATCGATTACAATTGACTAGGGTTATCATCAAAATAGTTACCTCTAAGTGCATCCTCCGAATCACAATCAATTTCTCTAGAAAGCCCATACTTTCCCATTATAAACAAGACCTGCCCCGCATCACTTCTACTCGAAATCCCCTCTCCAAACCCATCTCTCGACTTCACTACCGCGTCCTCGGGTATAGGAGGTAACGTCTGGAAAACCTTCCTCGCCATATTCACCTGCTTCAAGTAATCTTCCCTGGACACCTTCGGCTTGAAGCGCGTCTCCGCCTCAATAACCTTTTCAATCGACCCATGTGCACGGATAAAATCAAGAGCGCGTGTAGGTCCCACTTGATGAATACGTTGGGAAAAATCAGTTCCCAAGAGAAGTGCAAAGTCTACAAACATGGATCGAGTGAGGTTGAGCATTGTGCGTAGTTCGGCGCCGGAGATAACGAGGAGGGGTTGGTGACGACTAGTGATGTTGCGAATGAGGGGCGCTTCGTAGATGATGACATCCTGGAAGAGATACGAAGTTCAGAAGGCACCCAAAGCAAAGTTGTTTGAGAAATTTACCGTATCCTCACTAGCAACGTAGTCCGCATATCCGTTCAATACCAAGGAAGATGCGAGAGCCTCAGCTTCGAAGGGACCGTCACAATCAATGCACGGAACACCCATCGCCTGTAATATTTCTTTGGACTCCGCATATGTTTGACTAGTTGGAGGATGTGTACTAATTCGATACGACTCCGAAATTAAATTACTTTTGTGGGTGAGCTCCTGCAGCATCTTACGGTGAGCTTCACCTTCATAGTGCGAGTGTAGCTCCACCGGCGCGAGTTGAGGCTCTGAGCCAAGTGTTGATGTGAGGCTATCCCAGAATTCTCCCTCTTGAAGTGTCAGCTGGCATTGCCTCTTGGACATCTCGTAGACTTCTTGCGCCGCACCCGCTTCGAGTTCGGCCCCGTTCACTACTGCGTCGTCGGAGTCCGTGGAGATGTCAGTATCTGGATGTGAAATAGATGCTTTCGCAGCATGCATGGGATTGGAAGCTACTTTGACGAGGCTATCCTGGTATTCAAGGAACAGTGGTGTCAAGGTCGACAAGATGTCGTCTACGGTCGAAGTTTTGGAGCTAGAGGGGATTATGTTGTCTTCCACGAAGGGTTTCGATCGAGATGATGATTCTGGGGGTAATTCCGAAAACTGTTCAGAGGACGCCATGGAAGGAAAACCAGCCACGACCGAAGACTCTGTACGAAGTGCCTCTTCCACCTCTACGGATGTCGTGCCATATGACGCATGCCTATGTCTAGTAGGCCTCAGTTCCAGTAATTGCATGAAATCATTTTCCGCAGGATTTCCAACTGTCCATGACTCGGAATCGATCCAGGAGAGATTTTCTAAATCGACATCTTCCATTGTTGACTTTTTGATTAAAGACAAGATACCCTTCTTTCCCGATTCCGATTTGTCCGAATGTTTAAGAGCTAACTGTTCCAGCGCGCTAGAAACTTGGACTTTCTGCGGAAGTGAAAACTTTGCAATATTGCGTACTGCACTTGAGATCCGGTTGAGACGCGACAATCGTTCATTCTCAATTACAGCGCGGGCAGCTGCGAGTCGTTGAGCATTTTTCCTTCGCAAAGCCTTGGAGGTTTAATGAGACCAAACTCGACGTGACATACAACGGTGCAACGTACCTCTTGGGCTTTCGCAAGATTCCGACCCTTTCCATCGAATACACAGATCGCCTCAACGCTATATTGTTCTAGTTCCTTGATTAATCTATACCAGCCGAGTACATGCCTGCGAGGATGAGGTATTTGGGCAAAATGAAATCGTTGAGTGAGAAGCGTTCCGTCTCTGTCGGTTGAAAGAATTCGAAAGATATTAACAACGATCTTTCTGGATTGAATGGCGCCTACAATACGATTTTCTTACCAGAAAACCCCTGCAGACGGTCTGGAAGGCGTTTGATAACTTCTGGACTACGCTGTTTAGTAGTGGGTGCAGTAAACAAAAAGGAAAACGCTACCAAGTTTTCTGAATGAAAGGCGTTAATCCCAAAACTCCCATGTACTTCCCAACGTAGGAGTTTGGGAAGAGAAGTTGAACAAGTGATTGTAAAAATGTATGACTCATGCATATAGATCACGGGAACCACTTCAAAGCACTGATATCCAGGTCCTCTCGGTTTGCCTGCATATACACATACTTATTCTTTACTACTTGCTTATTCTTGAATACATAGGCTCCCTGCGGAACATGATTTCTCTTACGCCTGAAAGTGTATGACTTCATAACTGCGGTCCCTACGTATAGGTACTACATGCAAATCCATGGAAAGTCCGCATTCAACGCACGACCGTGACTAGAGAGACATGCTTGAACGCTGCCACATAGAGTATTTTCAAGTTGAGCAGGACACGGTCTCCTCTAGCCTATCAGGATCTATAGAAATAAGAGTGGTCAAAGTGCAAGAACAGATGAATCACCGGCGTCCAGCAATAAGAACCACGAATACCGTAGTGACGATCGCAAGCAGAATTAGAACAATTCCGCCTATCATCAGTCGAGAAACAGGGAATTTCCCTTGGGTAAGGGCAGTTTGAACGGTAAAGTATCGTATGAGCCCTAAATGAGATATATTATGAGATGCTTGGATCTCCGGGAACTAGAGCGGCCTGATACAAACCGATGAGAAGCACTACTATACCAAGACAGACACTCGTACTTCCTAGAGGCTGCGCATATGACTGGATATTGCTTGTGGAATTTGAAGAAACAGTGAAAAGTTGAACGAGAGCTGCTGTTGTGTTGGTCGACTAGACTTGTCGTAACAGAGAAAAAGACATACCAACACCCGTTGATGCTATGGCTAAGCTTGTCCTCACGTATGCCAGAAATGTTCTCTCTAAAGCTAGATGATCTCTCGCAACGCTCCCGCTATTTTCCAGAACTAATATCGGTTTGAAAGCCGACATGCTCCTCCAACATGAACCTGATTTAGCTTCGCTATTCTGCTGTGGAATATTATTACTGCTTGTTTCCTCATTTGCTTCGTCTGTATCCTCTTCAACCGACGTGTCTCCGGCTGCAGAGATTGAAACCGGTGATGCAGGATGCGGTGGATTTTCCTGTAACTTTGATTTCTGTGTTTCGGTTTCAGAAAGCTTAAAAGATACGGAGCGCCTCAGTAGTGCGGAAGAAGAAGAAGGGCGAGATTCCGCTTCAGGATTCGAATCCGGTTCACGGACAAAAGGTGTATTTGATACTTCAAAGTGAAATGATGATGGGAGTGGCATTGAAGAAGCGGTGGGAAATTTCGAGAGTCTCAGGGTCTGATAACATCTTCCCAATTGCTTGAACTGGTATTACTATCTGTAGATTCTGCACCTACTTATCTGCACGTTCAACAAGGCTCTCCACAATAATCGTATCCAAGTCATCGACATTCATGAATCGAATTTGGACTACAATGCTTTCGCGGGATAATTTCCTAAGCTAAGCTTAGTCTTAGCATCCCGATGCCGTTCCGGTTGTCACTTAAGGTTTCCCAGTCTCATACTCTACACAGGGCTGCTTTCCCTTCAAGCTAAACTGGCACTTTAATATGTTCTTTCACGTCCCAGCAGGTGACCTCATAGAGCCACGCCTATATAATACACGACTTTTACTGGAATAAAACCCTGATACCACCGTCACTATGAATCCTGCTCTGTTGGTGCCTCTGTCGGCCATTGCATACTTACTGCTCTCGCTTTTGCGCCGCCGGAAGTCATTAAGGTTCATCCAAGGACCACCTGTATCCTCATGGCTTTTGGGTACGTTCTTCATCGGCTGGCATGTAAAACAATTTCCTAACGGAAATCGGTCAGGCCATGAATACGAACTAGCGAATCAAGCAGAAGTAGGAGACCTGGAGTTCAAATGGTTTCGAGACTACGGTACTGTGTTTCGTAGTGCTGGATGTTGCGGGGTACGTTCAGTCAGCCATATGGTCTTGCTTGCCTTACACGCTGACAACACACCTTCTTCGTCTTCTTTTCTCATCTCCAAAAATTAGGAAGATATCCTGATGGTATCGGATGCCGAGGCTCTACACCATATCCTCAATACCGGTGGCTATCGTTACCCGAAGACCAGAGACGCGGTCAGGTTCATCAAACAAATTAGTGGAAGGGGACTTACTTGGGCACAAGGTTAGCAAATTTCCCGGTATTCATCGCATTACCTCTTCTCTTCTGCATGAAAAGCTAAATCATCTTCATCGATGTTGACAGGAGCCGTACATCAACGTCATAAGAAAGCACTTAGTCCGGCATTTTCAGAATCTCAGTTACGGATGCTCCTTCCATTGTTCCAAATGTATTCGGACAAGGTGAATATCTGACGCGTCCGGTTGACTGACGCACTCTTGACCGATGATTTTTCGGATAGCTCGCCCTTCGGTGGCGAGAACGATTTGCTGATTCTCAAATTATCGATATCTCTCATTGGTTGCCAAAGGTGACACTAGATGTTCTTGGTGAAAGTAAGTTATCCTTCCTCTTTTCGGAAACTTATGGACTAACTTTCGTCTTTGTAGGTTCTTTCGACTTCCAATTCGGATCACTCGATGACAAGTCCAGCGATCTTCGTGTAGCTTTACAAACCATGTTGTAAGTGTCCTATCTGATCCGCTTTCGGTGCCCGAGATTAATCGTTAAATCAACAGTGCCAGCTCTCAACGACCATCCAAGTTCACACTTTTCTTGAGAGCATGGAAACGAGCTTTACCAGACTCTGTAGTCGAATATTTCGAAGGAATTTACGTGACGGAAGAAGATATTCGATTTAAGGCTTATGTAGATGCGGCCAAAGGAGCTGCGAGAGAATTGCTAGAAGAAAACAGCTTGAATCTCGTGGCTAATGGTGAAAAAATCGCACAGGAGAATCACGATTACCTCAAGGGAGCTGAAGGGAAGAAGGATATGCTGAATATGCTTCGTGAGTTCTCGCATAAACCAAGGTTTCTCCGTATTCACTATTGTTGCAAATGATAGTTCGATCAAAAGCAGCAGAGGATCCCAAGAAACGATTGGATGATGACGAGGTGCTTTCACAAGTCTCGTTAGTCTTCTTATTTCCATTCAATCTTCAAGTGGGGATTGATCGAGGTTAAGGACCATGATTTTTGCCGGATTTGAGATAACTGCCTGTACATTGACGTGGATAATGTGAGACGACAAGCTCGACACCACGAAATATCTACTGATTAACCCAAACAGATACGAGTTGAGTCGGAAAATCGAGGATCAGCAGAAGTTAAGGGCAGAAATCGATGCAGTGTGGGTCAAAAGAGGCGACAATGCTGTCTTAACGTCAAACGATTACGATACGATGCCCTTTTTGAACGCTTGCATTAAAGTCAGAATCATCCTTCCCGAATCTTCCGCCAGGGTGTCTTATTCTTCATTCCCACATGCTAGGAAGGACTCCGACTCCACCCCGGAGTACAGTTCACGACACGCGAAGCTGATTTGGATGACGTAGTCCCACTGGCGCAACCAGTCATATCGACTTCTGGAGAGGTTTTGAAGAAGATACCTGTGATGAAGGGTCAGCGAGTGCATATCGCGATCGCTGCATACAATCGGTTGGTACCTGGTTGCAATATTATCTTCCATCTGAACTCTGTGTTCCCCGTATACTGCTCAGATCGTCAAGCGTATGGGGTCCGGACGCCGATCAGTGGAATCCGTCGCGCTATTTAGATCCTTCATCAGAGTCGAAGAAACAGCAGTCGATGATTGGAGTATTTGGGAACGTGTGCGTGCTTTCATACATCCCGCTATGCCGAAGTTAACCTATCTACCCTTAGGATGTCGTTTGGTAAGAACATCCGTTGCAACTTTTTTCTTCTCTACATCAATTTATATTTTCCTTTTCCTTTGGCTTTTAGGTTCCGGGGTTCGCGCATGTATCGGGTACGTGGCTCGATGAGTTCTCGGTGTATAATAGGTTGAACTGATCTTCCTTGTAGTTGGCGTTTTGCGTACGCGCCCATTCTTGCTTCAATTTAGAAGCATCACTTATCTGTGCTTTTTAGTGTGATTGAGATGCAAGCCATTCTTGTTTGTCTCCTGACACAATTCGAATTCGAGCTTCCTCCAGGCGGCTTGGATATTCAAACGGTGCCATTACGATCCATGAACGCACCCATGCTGAGAGGGAAATTGGATCAGGGACTCCAGATGCCATTAGTTGTGAAGAGGCGTGTAAGAGCTGATGTCTGATAATATAAATAAAACCTGAATGATAGGACCTTCAACGGACCCATTGCTTTCTTATTGTGCTGCAGCTATGTATGTACCGTGTACAGTAGTGAGTGATTGAATTAGTAGGATGCATAGAACAGCTTTGACCGGCTTTGCGCCGCAACGGCAATTCCCGTCTTACCTCACGAGGCTCTTGACTAGCTTGACTCGTCACTCAAGTCAACCAAATAAAACCGCTTCTCATAAGTACTCATTCTTCCTCAAGATTCCGAAAGCCCCGTCAATTGGTTCTTGTTGATGTAAGTACGACTGGCTCTGATAATCAGTTGTGCTTAAAAGAGTAGTGACTACCGTGTTAGACATCGTGCTGATTATAAGTAATTTAGATTTTTAATTTTTCCATGTTCGCACCAACCCGTAGTAGTATTCCAAATGTAATTTCGATGGTACGCCAAGCATCCAAGATTCACTCGACGCGTAACTTACTCTGTCTTCATCAGGAGAACGCGTCTCAACAGATACCTTATACGCGGTCGGTCTATGATCTTATGTCTGTATCAAACGAACTCTAACGCGAAATCTCTTCCAATAGCTATAGTAGATCACCGATGAACTCTGCTGCCACTTCTCCTGGTCAATCAACCCTTACTCTTCTTAAATCATCTGAATGTCAATCGAACCCCTCACATCCCCAAAACTGGGACATCGGCACCATGAGCAATACAATTGTTCCTGGTTCGCGTTGGGTCATGAAAATAAGATATGATGGTCATTTTGATATCGCTGGAAACTCTGTTGCCAGTGAAATCCCGGGGGCATTCTCTCGCCACACATTCTTCTGCTGGAATCCATTGGATGTCGGGAAGGAGAACGTGTATCGATTAGCGAACACCTTCATGGGAAAGTTGACAGCGGACAACATTATCATGTAGGCTTGTACTAGTATATGTATCGCTGTCGTCTGCATTCTACTAATCGTTGACGACGCAGATTCATCAAGGCCTGCATATTCTATCCGTTCCCTCCTCATAGTTCATGCATACCGCAAGAAATTCACCTCCCAGTCGAAATAGCCCCTTTTCATAGCCAGCTTCAAAAGTTTTTCTCTGTGTTCCCATCTCCTTTCTCTTACAAGATTGATAATGCAGAGCACACTTGCGAACAGAACACTCAACTCAGACTCATTTTTAGAAATGGCATGGAGCGAGCGAATCGCCTGAAGGACGACGGGAATGCGGCGTATCACTCAAAGGATGGGCTTAAAGCCGCAGATGCATTCCATGAAGCTGGAAACTGCGTCAAAGACCTTCTGGAGCAAAATCTGGATAAATCAGAAAGAGAAATGGCGAGGAGGTTTCTGGCTATATGCTACGCAAATCGGGCTAATGTGTGGCTGCTACCCGGAAGTTTGATGGATCTGCGAAGATGCGTAGAAGATGCGATAAAAGCAGAGGATAGCGATCCTTCGTATAGCAAATCGTAAGTCACATAACCTCTGCGACCCACCTATTCACTAATGAAGGCTTACTAGATACATACGCCAAGCAAGAGGATATCAAGGTTTGGGTGAATTTGATAAAGCAATGGACACTATCGCTCGAGCCCTGAGTCGCGAGGACCTGATGTACGACATCGACTTGGTCAAATCATTGCTCGTTCTTCAAACGGATGGAAAAGGTCTTCCGCAGACTAGGGTGGAGATGGAGGAGTGGAAGCGTAAAATTCTGACGGGCGATGTGGCGAGCGCGAAGAGGATGAAAAGTGTTCCTACCAATGGGGCATGGCATCGAAAGGTTGAAGGGCACTGTACTAATATATGTAGAGAACGAGGCTAATCATGCCCGTGTCTTGCGCTCTGCTTGCTTTCTATCTTAAATAGTTTCTATAATACTTGCTGCCAACTTTTGCGCAAATTAATGCTACGATGTATAGTCATGCTTGGGCTTGCAGCTTCATAGCTGTGACGCAGTATTCGTTTGATCGGTTCCTTTAGTCGAGCAGATACAGCCATCTATGGGTCCTTTATACACCCGAGGTCCTTTATACAAACACATCGGAAGACTGAAATTCAAAAGTTTTTGGCCTCGGAGTTTTGAGATTTATGCCTAAAAATACTTTGTCCATTGGGGTGAATGTCTCCGAAGAGTATATGTAGCTACATTGAAACAGAAATATGGTAAAATAGTGGATAAAGGCGAAGATAGATGTATAATTTGAAGTATTTTAACAATCTTTAAGTGGGTAAGGCGGAGATCAGGGCAAGGTGCGGATCCGCGCCAGCTGGCATCAGCAAAGCACTTGTCTTGGAATGGGAAAGAGGACTGGGAGAGCTTCAGCTTGCTTGCTGTGGTGGCATATACCAACTCTGGGCCGTGGCAGCAGTGGACAGTCTCCATTTGCTGGCCTGAGAGGACTAAATCCTCCATTGGTGGAAACTCTAGGTTGTTGGACTAATACTTCGTATGCTCAGCTTTGGTCTGTGCGACTTTCTCTTCTCGGCCACCGATTCCTCTTCTCTTCTCGGCCACCGATTCTTTTTTACTCCTATTCATCTCTCGATCACCATATATACTTGACACATTATTTTACACTCCCTCAGTTGCTTCCCTTATCAACTGAGGTGAGATTACTTATTTTTTCCTTCTTTCTAGTTTTACTAAAGTACCTTAGAACATACTCAACAGGTACTTAGATATATATCTAGTTGCTTCCCTTATCAACTGAGAACATACTCAACAGATTATGAGACTCAAGCTCAACCGATGACACGCCTAAATTTTGGCTAGATGTCTATGCTGTGAATTGTGACATTTTCATGTATAGATTTGTATTGAGAGGACTGTAATTGAGACCCAGATTGACAGTCAAAGTCAATACTGAATCAGTCTAATAAGTTGAAGGGACCATATACCCATACTACCACAAGTTGGTTAGTTTACCCATCCCCGATACTACCTTCAGATAGCAGTCTACCTGTTTGTCAAGCAGGATTATACCAGACTCGGACTACATCTGAAGGATGACCATTCACATATGACATACCAAGGGTATTCTTATTGGACCTTACACTGGCAGGAGTTTGGAAGAACTTACTCAAGTGACCATGAGCCGAGGATTGACTCGAGATGACTTTCTAGAACTCAGGAATTATCAAATACTCCTTCTAGAACGAGATCATGCATTAATCTAAAAGACTGTGATTTAGTTCCGAGATAAGTCACTAGAGGAGGCTTATCAGAGGATAAGTCAGCCGGGTGGTGTGAGTCGGCCAGCGCCAGTTTGGCGCCTATCTTCGTACTTCCGACTCCCACCGCCAATTGTAATTTACACATAATCCTCGCTACCCACCCACCCGCACCGACTTATTTTCCCCAGCCGTATGCTACTGCTTTAATCCCCGCGCATTCTTGATCTCACACATTCATCTGTTATATTTTCAATTTGCCCACCCGCGCGGGGCTAAAGCCCAGCCAAACCTCTTTGCAAGTATTACCCAACTTTACATTCACTCATCCATCTAATTCGAACTGAACCTCAGCCTGGCTTATCTAATAGACCAATCAGGTTGCATGGTTGAGGAAAATGACTAGAAGAGCGATCAAAGTACTACGAGGCTCCGAAGACATATCAAATGAATGTCAAAGAGTCCTGACATAGAAAATATTGAAGAATGCAATTAAATGAATACTATGTGTAACTCCCTTGATAGAGTATAGGCACAATGGGTGTCTATTGAAAGAGAGAAGCAATTAGTTTAATCCAGATGAATCAGATTGATAGGATTAGAATCGAGGAGAGCTGATTTGCCTCCAGACAAGGTGACAAACCATCGAAGTAAAGTGTTGAACAGCAGTGACAGCTGAACACCATTTGAGTCATTCTCCAAAACAATTAAATTAAATGAACATTGAAGTACCTACCTATGTTTGGAGGTATACTAGAATCTTGGAACCATTATGGACCAAATAAGGACATGTAGATTCAAATTAAATGGAATCTGACCGATTGTAAAAGTTTCCTTGCGGTTCCGAACGTTTATTGTATTAAATTAATTGTACTGTGCGACTCTATATTCTGTATGTATAAATAGCGATCCGATGTATCTGGAATACGAGTGATTTTGGGACGACGTTGCAGTGCTAATCCGTAAAAAGGAAAGACACACTCCCGCCAGACTGAAACCTCTTCGCTAGCAGCCATTCAGGCCCAGCACTTGTGAGTATAGGAACGTCGTGTTCTGCTCCTTGTGACTGCGAGAAGTCTATCCAGTTGTTGGGTATTCTTCGAACTTAGGATCAGTCGTTGGTCTTAAGGGCAAATCACGCTGTGTGGTTGTGCCAGCACATAGTTCTAGCCCTCCGTAGGGGTCTGTGTGTTTCGGTCTTAATTTACTTTGATTCAAACCCCCAATTCTTGATATACCCATATCAATACAATCAAAGCATAAATCGTGCTGAATCTACCTTGATCAAAGGAATATACCAAATCCTTAGAACGATTCAAATTGATTGATCAAAGCTTCTTACTTAGCTCTCAAAGCTTTGCGGAACCTTTGCCAACGCTACCCCTTGCTATTAAATAAATTTGATAGCAGTGAACTCGCATATTGTGTATTAGATTGGTTGGTTGGAGTGCCTATTAGATTCCTTCCTTTCTCTTTCACACAAAAACGAGGCAAGCTCGTTACCGAGCTTAAGAGACAAAGCTAATGTATCTATCACAGTGAATTCTTATCTTCGAAGCTATGTCCTCCACAGCTAGCTCGCTGTCGATCCCGCGCTTCCCCGAATCATCCCAATTGTTCGGCGAGAATACATGGCAAGTCTTTAAAGACCAAGTCCTCGCACATATTGAAGTTCGGGAGCTTGAAGGATATCCCAATGGTTCTATGATTCGGCCTCCTATTAGTGGCTATGTCTCCACATCTACACTGTACCCTCCTGCATCCACATCGACACCTGCATATAGTCCAACTCCTTTCCCGCACGAATGGTGTCAACATGACAGGATGGCTGCCAGCATAATTTATCTTAACATTGTCGATCCCGTTGGGCTAGGCGTCGAACGTGAAAAACCTGCATACCATATCTGGACTGAATTGAAGAAGAAATATGAGAGATGGGATGAGATGCGTGTACATCAGGCCGATACTAAACTCCGGTCTGCTCGATTTGACCCCAGCATTACGACTATTGAGGAGCACAAAAAGACGATGAAGAACCACCTAAAGGAGCTTCGAAACTTAGGTGGTTCCTGTCTTGACTCCCAATTTCACCTTATCGTAATCGCATCCATGCCTAAATCGTGGAGAGATCTCCTAATTAATGTCAAGGGAATCTCGAGCAATGATGTGTTTATTCACCTTCGTCAAGTATATGACAATAAGAAGGAGGATGAGGAGGACGCCCGACAGTGTAGTCAGGTTCGAGCTCTCATAGCTCAGGAGATGGCCTCTTTCCACTCGGCAAATACTGCGTCTGCTCCCAAGAAGGATCACCCTACGTGTACGAATCCTGACTGCCCTCCTCGTCAACGTCGCACTCATACGATTGAGAAATGTTGGGCACCCAGTGGTGGTAATGAAGGGGGAGGACCTAAGAAAGCCGAAACCGCAGTCACCCAGACCACGAACTATGCTAGCGACGGTGGAAATCATACTATCATGGAACTCTTCGACTTGTGTATGTCACTCTCAACACCCATTTCGTCTATCCAACTCCCTAATGCCCATACCTGCAGAAACTGTATGTCAGTATCAACAGGGTATGGTGCAAATAAAGAGGTTACACACAACATAGACATATTAAATTCTTTGGTTCTCCACCAATCTTCAGACGTTGACGGATGTACTGCTTGTTCAGCTCACAATAAAAATACTTTATTATATGCTGCCTTGAAACCACGAATACCTCAAACTTTCCTAGACTCAGCTGCAAGTGATCATTTCTGGGTTCGAAGGGATGATTTCATTAAGTATGAGAATCTGTACGGAAAGGCAGGGAAGTCAGCGATTGCCGGAAAGGCAGGAGAATTCGAGATCCATGGGAAAGGTACTGTGGAATTCGAGACAGCGGTTGACGGAATAAGGAGAAGATGCCGATTAAACGACGTGTATCACACTCCATCCTTTCATCACAACCTAATCTCGTTGCAAACGTTGGATGCCAAAGGAATGAAAGGAGAGTGGGGTAGAGGGTTGCTCACCATACGAACCGCGAATGGAAGCATCATTATGCAGGGCGAAGGAAAGGGCATAATGTATGAAGTACAAGCTCACTTCACACCCTCATTTGCAAACTTTGCTAGATCACTTAATAAGCCTGTCAATATTCATACATGGCATCGCAGACTTGGACACCCAGCTATTGATCGAATACTCCTGATGCATAGGCACAATCTGGTCAACGGCTTGCAAATTACTTCTAAGAAAGTAGCTGGTAAATGCGAACCATGCATCTTAGGGAAATCAACTCACCGACCATTTGATGAAAAACTTACACACGAAACCAAAGTTCTTGAATGTATCCATCTCGATCTTTTCGGTCCAACTCGAACCCAGAGTATTGGTGGCGCTACATGGATGTTTCTTGCAACGGACGGGCATTCATCCGTCAAAGCTCCGACTTTTCTAACGAATAAGCGGAAAGAGACAGTTCTAACAGCAATTCATGATTGGCGTACGATGGCGGAGTGTCAAACGGGTCTCAAAGTCTTGATATTCCGGATAGATGGTGGTGGAGAGTTCGATAATGGGTGGTTCCGGGATTACTGTTGAGAACATGGCATAGTTATTGAGATGATTCCACCGAGATCCTCCTCAGCCAATGGAGTAGCT